TTTTTTTACTTGATTTACACAATTACTGATACCTTTATCTACTTCAAATTTGGTGTTTTATCTCTTGCCATCGATTTTTGTAGGTCTAACACCCTTTGTCGTTATTTTGCCAGGAGCTGTTTAATATTTTGAAGGATACATGTTTCATCAATGACAACGAACTGCTTCTGTTGTAATTCTATAATTTCTTAAAAACTGACCTATTTGCAGTTCACGTCTGGGTTATCTTTTTTCCTTCATTCTTTTAATACAGTTGACAATGATGCAATATAGCCATTAAACATTTGTCTCTCAATCAACTTTTCTCTTAAAGGTTCCAAAGTTATGTGTTGACCTGCAAATAAGTATGTATTTATGTTACTGTAGATAGGTATACAAATTAAAACTTTTATAGGTAATATAAATAAATTATGATTGAATAAATATATTTGTCTTTATACTTACTTGTTTCATACATATTATAAATACCACTTCGGATTCGACTTGTATCCAGTGTTATTGTATTAGTAGGTAATCCTTTGTTTATATGAATGCTTTTTTATTAGCGATTTTAATCATTCATTATTCTTGACTGCTTGCTAAATACTACTGACAGAAGAAATATTTTTATTTAGAGATGCTGCAACACACTAAAAAAGACAAGAAAACAATTTCATATTTCTATTAAATTTTATAACTTGTAACTTACCTCTCTTACAGCAGTTAAAGGTAAACGTGGTCCATCATTATTACGCTCTCGTTCAAAATAATGGATTAAAGAAGCTATCAACTCCTTACAAGGACTTTAGTTTTTTAGGCATTTTGTATATATAAATGAAACGACAAATAATCAGCTTATTCACACTATGGTTGTTTTGAACAATAGTTTTTTTATAAGTATAACTAGCAAAGTTTAAAAATACAGGCAAAAGGATTTTAAATTACAGAAAACAAAATGCACAATCAATAATTAACTCAACATAAACATAACCTAACTAAATCAGTGAAATTTTTTAAAAAGGGGTTGCAACACCGCAACAAGGTGTACCAATTGCTGTAATGACATTTCTTCTCTATAAATACGAGCTTCATGGGCGTACAGAATGTCGAAATTATTTAATGTAAAGTATAATTTTTTGAGTACTAAACATTTAATAATGTTTTTATAAATTTTATATTATCAAGAGTTAGACATGTATAAACTAAATAATTTAAATAATTCTAAAATTATCAAAATAATCACCATAACAGTTTTCGACTTTTTAGTAATATGACTACGTTCATGAATGCTCGTGACTATACGTGACTTTTTCGGATTATTAGCTTAGTTAGGGACATTTTAATTAGTTGGTAGTACTATGACGAATGACCGACGTCATTGCTGACGTGCATCGGGATTTGTATTAAAAATACTATACCCTGCTTCCCGCTTAAGACAGAGAATTCGCTACCGATCTTTTCCTGCCGGCATCTCGCCGAGGGAGTAGGGAGGTCCTTTTGTTTTCGACCAATTAAATCTGATTGTCCACGTGCTAGACAGGTGTATTCTTTTTTAACGGCCGTTTGTCTATCGTTCAGGGGCGGGCTAAGAAATTTTGTTGGTGCGAGTAGTTGAATTATTTATTTAGGCGGAAAATTAAAAACGTTCAATACTGTTTATCTTTTTAACCTAAAAATAACTTACCTATCTATGGAACTTACATCATAATTCATAAAATAAGTTTTATCATTTCATTAATTCATTATCTTATTTGGCCTTCCTCCATCAAGCTCTTTCATTTTGTACGAGGTTGTTTTAAAAAGCACAGTAAAGTAGAGACATTATATGGGTGGTATGGTGCGCGTGTAAATTGATAACAAAATAAATAAGATTAATTTGAAATAATTCTCATCTCATGAAAGTTTACGAAAACTGGCAACATCGCTTTCATACTATTGAGATAGTGGCGGTGGGAACCTTCTTGTAACTACAACCCCGGTATAATTAATAAATCATTAGCTTGAGTCGGCTCCATTTTTCCGCTTATTTCTGCACTGAGAAAAGTAACTTTAAAATATCTTACTCCTGTGCCTGTTTGTACTTTTTCACAATTTCGTCTTGTTGCGCATGTCACTCGCCTAAAATTATGAAGCATAATGTGAGCGGTGAGAGTGATGGAACAGTCGTAGGGAGCACTCTCATGAGTAAGTCCTAGATATCCTGTTATAAATTGCAACATTTCATAGTCTTCTTTTTCTGCATATACAAACGCCATTTAGTATTTATTCATACCGCTAAAGCAGTACCGAGGATAAAAGAGACCTTAGATAAAAGAGACCAGAGATATAACATACACCGGTGTTTAACCTGCGCAAATGTTGCCAATTTATAAAGAAAGGTTAACGGAGTGGGGGAACTGGGCAGAGATTCGAACTCTGTGACAGGGACCGGACTTTGTTTATTAGCATCATAATTAACTATTAGATTTATTTAAAATATATGTTTAATGGAATTTTGTATTATGAAATAAAATTAACGTGATTTTTTAATATCAAACAGATGCCACGACATTTTATGTAAAGAGAAGAACTTTTATATAATATTTCGTTAGCGTTTATTTACTACGGACTTTTCAGCACGAGACTACAGTAAAATGTTAAAATACAATAGTTAATAGAGCAAGAAATGGTACTCATTGTCTACGAGTATTATAAAAAAAGCATGTGCGCAAGCGAATACTGCAAATCAAACCTTGTGAGTTGAACATTATATTTTTTTACGGCTATTACATAATATAAAAAATTAGTCAAAATGAGAAAATGCTGTTTTGTATTGTAACCTCAGCTTCTTTCTTTAGGAATATTAATTAATATAGAGGATGAGTCACATATTTTAAAATTTAATCCTATTAAAATTTGAACTTATATAATATATTCCGCGACTGGTTGAATGGCAAGTGCCCAAAAAAAAAAATCCTATTAGCCATTTGGTCGCTAGGGATGGATGATTATCGAAATAAATTATTGATCATTGAAAATAATCGATTATTTTCGATCGATCGATTATTCAAACAATCTATTTTTTGTCGTATTTCCTTTTAAATCGACTAATCGAGTAATTAAAAAGCTAATTAACCGATATATCAGTGTTTACAAAAAATAATAAAATAATTATCATTTATATTAAATAATCGATTATTTTCAAATAATCCATTTTGTTTTACGTCCATTGAAACAGATTATTCGATAATCTTTGAAAAATCGAAAATAATCGATTAATCAAAAATAATCAATTAATTAAAAAGTCGATTAACTGATAAATCGATTTTCAGAAAAAACTAATCGATTATTTTAAAAAGTCGATTATTTTCGATCAATCGATTATCAATAATTTATTTTTATTGTATTTCCTTTAAAATCAATAATTCGATTACCATTGAAATACCGAAAATAATCGATTATTCCAAAATAATTGTTTAATCGAAAATAACCAATTAATTAAAAAACCGATTCTACGATAAATCTATTTTCCAAAAAATAACCGAATTATCGAGTATTTTCTAATAATTCTTTTCATATTTCCTTTAAAATTGATTATTCTATTATCTTTGAAAATCGAAAATAATCGATAAATCGAAAATTATCGATTATTAAAAAGCTGATTAACCGATAAATCGATAATTCTAAAAAATAACCGAAATATCGGCTATATAAAATAACTGATTATATTCGATCAATCGATTATTTTCATATAATACCTTTGAAAAATCGAAAATAATCAATGAATCGATTAAAAAAAACCGATTAAACGATAAATCGATTATTTTCAATCAATTTTGAATTTTGAATAAATCTACTTTTTTATTTGAATTTTGAATAAATCTACTTTTTTATTGTATTTATTTTAAAATCGATTATTACATTATATACAAAATAACGGATAAATCGATTTTCATAAAAAAATATCAGAATAATCGATAAATCGATTATTTTTGTAACTCCTATCGGTCGCTTGCTTTTATCCGAGCATTTAGCTCCAAAATTTAGACATTCGGATTTTCTGCTCCCGTTATCTTTGAAACCGCATTAGATTGTATAATACATAATAAATATTGCTAGAATTTGGATTTTTTTAGTACGAAAATTTTGTTCGAGTTGTTTAGCGGTTTATAATTTAACATTTTATTAACAATGTGATTAACTCCCGTAACTTTAGTATTTTTTTGCTTATACTAGATCATATTGTGTGTTTTACTTTGTTTTAAGATTCAAATGTTATTTTCGATTTGACCGCAAATAAGATGAACCTTGAAATTTTAAGTAGATCATCTTGTATTTCATCTAATATTCTTATAAAAATACCTTATAAAAATAAAATTTAGCTAGCAACTATGCTTCTTTACTTCTTATTTACCTACCACAAAGGGCTAAAAACCACCTTTAGTAAATATTCTTATAAAACTATTTTTTGAAAACAATTGCTATTTACTTCTAATTTAAATTAAATGTTCAAAATTTTACCCTTTTTGTATATTTATGTAATATGAAACCTGTATTCTGAAATATGTATTTGATGCTTAATATTTATTAAAACCCCTTAATGCGGATCTGAAGTATTCAGCCCAAAGGATCATGGCGCTTTATGTCAAAACGTTAATAAATATTTACCGCTGAAAACGAATATATTTTTTATGATTCATAACATTGGTACTTGTATTATAAGTATATACAATTTTTCAAGATACATCGTGGCCTTTTGAACTTAAAATTGAATAACTAGAATACTTTAAATTGTTAAAACACCAACAAATAAATCAAAAAACAATGATTTTCAATTGGTGGGTTACTTGGGGTTAAAATAGACAACATGCGCAGTGTGCAATGTTACATCTTCGGTCTCTTTAATCTAAGGGTCTTACCAACATTGTATAGTAACAATATTTTACTTTAAAGGTAATGATATAGTTTTTCATGGGAAGATCAATATGAATGAATATTTTCATTCGCTAGAGGAAAAAATAATGAATGGTTTATTTTTGTAGCACCACTCAATGAAGCAGATGTTCTTAAGGGTTCAGGTATGTCTTTTATCTTCTAAGCATCATACCATCTTGTCCTAAGTCTTCCTCTATTTACCTACCTATTTGAAATCATTTTTATTTATACTTCGAGAATTTACTTACAACATGGAAGCGACTAATACGTATTTGTTTTATTTTACATAAAGCTGCAGTCAAACAAGAAGAAGACGTGATCCTAGCAAACGAAGACGCTATACGTATGTATATCCTTAATATTATTATAAAAAAAATTATGAACATCTATTATTTTTGTGTTACAGTTGACGCATTATTGTCTAATAATAAGGACACGTTAGGTAGGTTTAACAACACAACTCTGTTACCTAAATAATTTAGCTATTATTAAAAATCCTAAAAATTTTTTGTAGCTGATGTACTGAACGATGTAGGATCACAAATAAGTAGGTATTTTTAATGCTATTTAAAATAATTTTGATGTCGTTTGTCATTTAAACTACTTTTTTATATAATTTTAATAAAATATTTTTTAATATATTGTAATGGTACATCCCGGGAGGGTTAAACCATTCCAATATTCCTAAATTTTTAGGGTTGTGGCTCCTCCGGCTTTCATCAAAAATAAAAAGAAAACAAAATGATTGTTATAAAAATTTCTTATAGTCCTTTATTTTAACACCTTTTCACAACTTGTTCTAACTGTACTCTATCTTTGCCTCTATCTACTACACTACCTCTTGAGTTCTGCTTCCAGATTTGCTTTCTAATTTTTATTCTGCATCTTTAACTGTTCTGACTTCTTGCACTGTCCTCCTCTTGCTCCTATTTCTACTCAATTCGCATTTCTGCTGTCCGATTCACACTTAGTTTTTTTTTTTAATTTTAAAATACAAATTTATCTACCTTTTAATTCTTAATTTCTGTTCTTTATTTCATACATTTCCAGTACAACAATATTCTTAAATTCTACCCTGCATTCAATATCCCTATCTGATGTTTTTTTTTAAATTCCCCATTAACAATATATTTAAATCTAAGTTGTTTAAACTACTAAAAGAGTTAACAAAAAATAAATGCCAAAATAAATTTAACACAATGTAATAAAAATAAACTCTTCTGTCCTTTAACTTGTCCTTGTCCTTCTGCTACTGCACGATTTCGCTATTGCACCCTAAACTTTTTTAAACTATCTGCTCCACCTCTCCCTTACCTTTATTTTCTAGTGCTACGTCTCTGTTTTCTCATATCCTTTCCATAAATAGTTATTTTCTGTTCTTTTTACCTTCAACTACTTTCCTATCTTTTTAAATTATACTCGTTTTTTAGCTTATCTTTAGCAAACTTTATTTTATTTAACTTAAAACCTTTTTTATAACTTACTTTTAATATTTAATTTTATTTCGCCTTCCCCGCTGATAATTGAAAGTTCTTCTGACAATCTAAAATCCCAACTGACACCCCCTTCAGCAGCTCTCTTTTTAACTTCAAATACCCTCTTCAGCAATGTAACCTCCAGTTTCGATAAATGTTAATTTGACAAATAATATAAAAACATAACGTATACTATTATTGTCCCCCAGAAATATCTATGTAATTAAATTGATTTAATTATTCATTCTGTTTATTATAGAAGAGCTATCACCAGAAGGTAAGGGATTTTATCTATATTTATTTTCACTTACAAAACAATTTTTTTTACTAATTTTTATGTTAGTAATTTCTTATGTGCAGCGTTGCTCGCGTGGTTTACAACAATTATGATGAATAATAAAATCGACGATAAACTTAATATTTCAAAAACTCATTTAGAATCTATAACAATTTTCACATCTTTAACTTTTTCCATTGAAAAGCCAATTAGGTATCCTTATCAATAGCTATTCATCTAAAGAATACTTAATAAAGAAATTTATTGGAAAAGTGCCGCGCTTTTCGGCAAAGAAAGTGTATATAGGTCAAAGTTTAGAAAGTTAAATTTTAAACTTTACCTTAATGTGTCCAATTAAATAACGAAAAAAGCTCCTTCGAGCTTACATTAATTTGTAATTGGATGAAACAAAGTGGACCTTATGTAATTTGATGTGGTCTTTCCGAAAATAAGCAAAAAAATATGTAGCTGTTTTTTTTAAATTAGAAAAAACCGGGTTTTCCGGAATTTTCCATGGTAAAAATGCTAAATATCCGGGCAAGTATCATTCCGATAGTAAAAATAAATGCACCAATCGAAAGAGGAGGCAAAAATAGTTCGGAAATTCATTGCACAGGTAATGGCGAATTTCTCGCCGTCAGAAGTGCTTTTACCATAAAGTTGTTTTTTCGTTTCTTTGATCAGAACCATGTACATGAAATTTGCGATGAATTTGTGGCAAAATTATAAATGTTAGACATATGTGCCCATAAGAGAAGTTGCGTATTTTTTTGTTGGCTCTCAAATAAAATAGGTCCCGGCGTAGTTTTTTTTTTAATATTTTCCCCATATAATTTTCTTCGGGTTTTCCGAAAACATCTAACAAAAAAATATATTTGAAAAAACTAACTGTCGGTCTAAGGCCCGTATTTATAAACAGAACTTGGGTAAGTCGTCCTTGAACTAAAATCGAAGTTCGGTTACAACATCTCTAAAGTTCTAGGTGGTTCTGGTGTTATACTGGAATTTAGAGATGGATATTAGCAAATCTGTTACTGTTATGTCCATTTACGGATTTGTTACTACACCCATCTCTAAATTCACGCGATATAACAGAACTTCGATTTTCGTTCAAGGAAAATTGGAAATCGCAAAAAAATCAAATTACAGAAATGCAGTGTATACACGAGTTTTGGATCCCGCGGAGCGCGTGTAATGGGACTTTTGTCTGTAGAATTCTACAACTTTAAACTTTGTATACACATTCAGAAGACATGAAATTTGGGACTGCTCAATTTTCAGACCAAAAAACTGAAAATCGTCAATGTTAGGCAACTTTTCTTAAAAACCGTGTTTTTTGGTCGTCTACTCAATGAACAGTGGTCAAAAAAATGAATAAAATATGTTTGCAGGATTTTCCGTAATGTAATCGTATTTTAGACACAATAAAGTACTCAAACAAAAAGTTTTGAGCCATTGGGTGCATTTTTGGCATTTTTGTGCTACTTCAAACTTTCGAAAAAAAATTTATTTTTTTTTAGGGAAAACATTTGTTTAATTGTTTGATATTTTGGCCAATTATAGTCCGATTTCGGTGAAATTCACACACACATAAGATTTCACATTCAAAAGTAAGCTCTGTAAGTGGCATTAAAAAAATTCAAATAGTTTGGCCATTATAGGCAAACAATGAAATTAGGCCCGCGGTACACTTTGCCCTTCCGCCATATGCCCAATTTTGGGATTTCTCTTACCCCCTTCTGGGAATCAATAGTCACATCCGTTAAATTCAAAATGCATTTTTGTTTTTTTAAATATCTTAATTTTTACCGAAGTTATGAAGAATTTAGTGTTTGAACATTTAACAAATTCAATTTTTCGACCTTCGCCGCCTCAAAATACTAACCAAATTTCAATCGTCCATACTGCGAGAACGGTGCATCAGTTCAAAATTTCTCAAGAGACAAGAAAATTAGCATTTTTCCTAAGCTTTCAAATGTCGTTAACTGCGTTTTGAAAATATTGATGCGCCTGCGCAAAATTGAAAAATTGACAAAATCCAAAATTTCGGTATTTTCGAAAAACAGCTACATTTTGTTTTGCCTTTTTTCGAAAAGATCACCTCAAAATACATAGAATCCATTTTGCTTCATTTAATTACAATTTAATGTAAGCTCAAAACCCGTAATTTAATTCGATTATGAATACTATAAAAAAGAAGTAGCAAACTCGCTTCTGTAATCAATGGGTTAGATTAAAAATTAGTGGAATGATCACATTACCTTCCACTGTGACCCGGTTGGGCCTATTGTGACCCTAAATTATAGTTCACCTTTTCATTAAGGCTATGGTTGAGTTGGTAGGTGTACTCTGGTCGGGTTAAGCCAAAGATGTGGAACCTAGTTCTTTCCAGGGCGGAGCAGGTACATATAATGTGCTCTGCAGATTCGTCTTTCACGCTCCAGAATCAACAGTCCGACATTTGTTACAGACCTATTCTTCTCATGTGGTTACCTAGACAGCATCATCCTGTAAGGATGCGTACTTCACTTACGTGTACTTCATTCACGGATTTCAGTAGAGGCGTTCAAAAAGTGATAGAAATACCCCGTCCTCTAACAAAAGTGTATCGCATTTTTAGTTATAATACAGTTTGCACGTTTCTTCTTATTTTAGTTGCGCTTAGTTGCTGCTTAGCAGTGTAAACTTTATTAAGGTTCGTTTAGATAAATACACTTTGAAAAAAATTAAGATTACGTTTTACATTTTGTCTACAAATAGTATAACAATAATTTACTTTCGTACTTTATAAATAAATTTCTGAACTGATCATTGGTTTTTAGCGTTTCTAGAGTTTTTAAAGATAATCCAAAATAGGTGCAAATTCGTGAAACATCCTTTGTTAAAAAATTATATTATAACAAGAGGCACATATATTATTTATTGAATATAATTTATATACATTTTTTAATCAATATTATTTTTTTCACAAGTGGACTCTGATTCAGACTCATCACTACTTGCCGTTGTGCCTAAATTAATAATAATTGGTTCTATATCAGAAAAATTGCTTGTATTGTTCCCAATTGGAAACAATTATGTTTTTAGTGTGTCCTACAAAATTATCCCATTAGTATCGGTGACATTAGTCAAAGCTTCTGACCAAGTCTGAAATAAATCTTCCGTTGACAACTTTGTTAAAATTTTTTCGTTATAAAACCGTTTGCACTGTGACCACACCATCTTTGTCGCATTGTACTGACAGTGATATGGAGGATTTCTTAATATTTTATGCCCATATTCCTCAACATATCTATGTAGGTGGAATTATTTTCGTAATAGATTTTAAGGTACAGCTTCCCAAATCTTATATTTCATACCATTGATTGGATAATTAATGTTCTTTTCCTTCAACCATTTTACCATTTTATTTTTTGTCCAACTATAACATGGAATTGGTTTCACGCAGGGCCGCCGAGAGCCAGGTCGGGCCCCAGGACAATTCTCTAGGTCGGGCCCCGTGACAAAAAAAAGTTCTTCGTCAAACAAAAACTTTTCCTCTTCTACTTGAATTAATTTTTCTAAAATAAAAAGATCCTCAAGGTAAAACTTTTCCTCCTCTACTTGATACTTTTTTCTAAAAAAAAGGTCTTCAAGGTAAAACTTATTGAGTTTTCTAAGAAAAAAAAAATCCCCAACCAAAAACTTCCCCTCTTCTCTTCTGTCCAATTTCTCATACAAAAAAAAACAAAAAACAGTTGCCAGGCCCCCATTTGAGTCTGGGCCCCGGGAATTAGTCCCGGCTACCCCCCTCCCTCTAGTCGGCCCTGGTTTCACGTACCGCGAATGATAATTGGCATTATCGATCATAATCAAAGAAGATTTTTTTTTTTTTTTAATTTGGTGTCATCGGCGTCGACTACTACGGCCATTAGCCTCGTGTTCTGTGTAGGCTTTGTTACTGTTTCCCAGCGCCACTTTAGGAACAGCACTGTTAATTAGAACCCAACAGTGAATGGTCGAGTGGGGAATCCTACCAAGGCATCAGAATTAATTTCAAATAATTAAATTAAATAAAAAAATCCCGGCCAACGGTGGGATTCGATCCTGAGACCTAAAATTTTCTATGTTAATATTATTATGGTAATCCCCGCTTTTTGTTTGTCTGTATTTTTTATAAACCCCCTTTTATTTTAGTTCTTTTTTTTTATTTAACTTCATAATGTAAAAATTTTAAGAAATAAATATAATTATTTCTCACATGGGCTTCCTTTTAGCGTTTTTGAGATCCAAATTTTATTTATCTACATAATAATTTTCCTGTTAAAATAGTTAATTAATCTGTTACGAAATAGGAAGTATCAGAAGAGCGCCTTAACGAAATAGCGTGTATTAAAATAACAGCGCTGGATGAAAACAGCGCCTGAACGAAACAGCGACTGGAGCCATCGCGGGGTGGTTCCATACAAATTTTTTACATAAAATTATTAAAAAAAAACCTAACTAATTTACATGACCTATACGGCATGGAACCATAGTGGGTTGCTTAGCAAAAAAATATTCATGAAGCCATCTAAATTTAACCGATCACTCAAGGATCCAATGCTAGGTGAGACAGCGTGCTTTTGGCCGCGTCCACGAGTGAGTTCGAGCCTACTGGAGTTGTACAGTATATTTTTTCTACGACTCATTAACAAAAACCGAAAAATCGAAAAATCGAAAAATCGAAAAATCGAAAAATCGAAAAATCGAAAAATCGAAAAATCGAAAAATCGAAAAATCGAAAAATCGAAAAATCGAAAAATCGAAAAATCGAAAAATCGAAAAATCGAAAAATCGAAAAATCGAAAAATCGAAAAATCGAAAAATCGAAAAATCGAAAAATCGAAAAATCGAAAAATCGAAAAATCAAAAAATCAAAAAATCGAAAAATCGAAAAATCGAAAAATCGAAAAATCGAAAAATCGAAAAATCGAAAAATCGAAAAATCGAAAAATCGAAAAATCGAAAAATCGAAAAATCGAAAAATCGAAAAATCGAAAAATCGAAAAATCGAAAAATCGAAAAATCGAAAAATCGAAAAATCGAAAAATCGAAAAAGAAATTCCGTAACGAAAATAAACCAACACTTCTCACTTCGACCGGCACAGCGGTGCGGCGTTGAAAGCCGTGCATCGTCTTACGTCGTTTCAGTTCGGCAGATTTCGGCACGGTGTTTGTGTGCGTGCGATTAGACGTAAGTGTGTAGACTAGCTGCTAACTGCTCATAACTGATTCTATCTCTATTAGACACGATTTCTGAAAAATTTATTTTGAAAATTAATAATGATCCACAAGAATCCACAACAAAATATGGGACCACCATTGACGCGGTATTTTTCAGATATATAGAAGATATCAAGTCTCAAACTTATGTTTCTTATTTCAGTTACCATAAACCTATAGTTTTAATGATAAAAATTCCTGAATAACCTACATATATTGTAAGATAATAAAAATATTTTAAACAATGTATTTATTCAATAAAAGAAAAAATATTGTTTTCTTATCGTTCACCATGCTCAAAAAGTGTAACTTGAATTAATATCAAAGAACAAACTTGAATTAATATCAAAGAAAAAAAATACTGCATAAATAAAATAAATAATTATAATTGCATAAGTTGATAAAAAATGCTATGCAATAGCTTTACCGCGGCAGTCCCCGAGTGCCACACGTATTTTTTTAACTTTTCTTTTTTTACGCAATTTTTTTTGAGAAGTAAACCGCGGTGGTTACAGGCCGCGCAGGTTATGTAAATTAGTTAGGTTTTCGTTGGGCGCTATTTCATTCGGGCGCAATTTCGAAACACGCCATTTTGATCATGCGGTCATACAATAGCGCTATTTAGATACTCGCTATTTCGTGGCAGGGCCATATTTTTTAGATAAAAAATGAATTTCTAATCCACTATCAAATTTACCATCAAAATGTCTACGAATAATAAATTATAAATTTAAATATACTAAAAATGTACCAAGGCCTATTTTCTGTATTTTTGTTAAATTCAGAAGATATCAAACGACAAGGTAAGACATTTTATTTAATAAAGACATCTTATTTAAATTGTATTGTATGTCTATTTTTAATTAATAGTTTTATTTATTTTTACAGTTATGTTAATTAAAACCTAACGATGATTGGTTGAATATCTATACATTAAATTATTTAATAATTAATTATTAAGCAACAAAAAATCACACTATTGTATTGTATGGCTATGGATATAAAGGTTCCTTTCTAACAGAATAAAATACATGAATACTGATGATTATATTTATATTAAAATTGCTAAAAATAATTTTACATAAAATCACAAAAAACTGAGACACGAGGTATTGACTTTACGGTGATGCGATTGTATGTCTTTTCATCATATAAAGAGAATCAGTAGAATCCGCTCGAATAGAGAAGAGTACGTCACGATGCGCCGAAGACTTATTTGCGCTGCTGTTATACGTGACCATGGTAATGTGTCGATTTAATAAATTACAAGTAGGTAGATTGTACTTTGGATTTTACCAGTGGCTTATCTCAAGCAGTCACAACAGATGCCCGAGTTTTTTGACCTATGTACTCTAATCTATCCGGACAGACTCTACCTACGCCAGAAATTTATACAAAAAATAGGTTTGGCCACATATATACCCTACCTGGTTTAAATACATTAAAATCTAACTTTTTTTAATCCTGGGTTTATGAATTTTGAAAATAAGATATTTCACCATGTTTACATTATCCAAATTTGTTGCCGCAAACTACGAATTTTATGTTGATTGTTCAGGGACTCGTTTTTTATTTTGGGCTCATGGTCGCTACATGGGAGGGGGCAAAGGGGGCAGTTGCTCACCTCTCATAAATGATTTCGCTCTTTCTATATGGAGTACTCAGTTAATATATCCAAATTTCCGAATAAAAGTATCCACGGGCCCACTATGACTATGGACTAGTGTTAAAGTTGTAAATTGGCTATTTAATTATAAGGGCTTGTAATTAATTTTTATCTTTGACTTTATAGGGTTTTAAAATTTCATGGTTCTAAAATTAAAAAAAAAACAAGTACCGTGTACAATATAATTGAGGATTTCACACGTTTAATTTACTCAAAAAAGTTTTCCTAAAAACTGATGATATACTGTAAGTTTGGATATATCGACTAGGTATATTAATAATTTAGTTTAAAAGTAACATTCATATATTCTTATTCAATATAAATATGAACTCAATATTTTATTGGGTAAATAGATTCAAATCTATTTATAATTTTTATTTTCTTTTTTTTTTTTTCAGGTGAAGCTCGTGTAAGAGGTATGACGAAATATGAAAGAAAAACTTAGATTAATAAATAACGAATACTACGAAAGGGTAGAAGGACCACATTGTTTTCTGTTTTTTTTTTATATCTGAAATTCCGAGTCCTCAAGTTTTTGTTAACCATTTTCACAATTTAAAACAAACTATAACAACTTTAATTAACAGTAAATATATAATTCATAATTAATTTAAATCAGAGGGCATTCCACTAAGAAACTTAATATTGTTTCTCTAATTTCATTTTCATTTTAAATTGCAGAATCCTCATTCTATGTTACAGCTCGCTGATAAGTTGTATATTGGTTCTATTTTGAATTTGTAATTTTCTAAAATCAAGACACTAATAGTTCTATTCATAAGATTACGTCGCGAAATAAATCATAAATTTATCAATCTATTAATTAACCAATCCAAATTTGTACATATTTATTTATTATTGGTTAGGTACATAACCTACATTATTTTTTTACATTTTTACCTTATATACTAAACAAAATTTAAATTACTCTTCTGCTTTGAACCCACCAATCAAATCAACGGGCATGACTATCATATACGAGTACAGCAGGGGTGGCCAACTTTTCTTTATATAAGATCTACTTTTTTTCTTAAAAGTGAGTCGGAATCGACTTGTTATCATAGGCATAGTCTAAGGGGGAAGAAGAGGTGTGAAATGTATGTTGTCAAAAATTATTACAGTGCATTACCTTATGCGATTGTCGATAGTCCTATTACTAAGAGTTGCATTCGATAAAATATATCACAAAATTAATTCACCGATGATCTTTTTGTAATTTGGCGGTAGCTCAATAAATTACAAATACAGTACAAAAGCAATGCCAATAATGTAGTAAATACTCAAATCATTACGAAATTGACTGGAGAAAATAAAGAAAATATTTAAAAAAACTTTGATATGGTAAAAGTTGATTGCTCCTTTGTTGTCCATTAAAATGAAATTATTAGATGGTAGTCAAGTATATGAAAGGCTAAAAGGGCAAATATTGTATGCCCATTTTTGTCAAAAATGGGATGGGTATGATTCTGTGTCCTAGGTGAAATTTTCATGGTTTACCAACTAGTAAGATAATATTAATATAATCTAAGCAGCTCGTCATAGCCACCCTCCAACTTTCAAATCGATTTTACCCGAAACGACATTTCTAGACATACATTTTTTTGTCCTCTCAGCCATCGAAATTATTTTCGATTATTCAATTAAAAGTCTAGTAAATTATTACATTGTGAGTGATAAAATCATATATAATACAACGAGTGGTATCAGGACTTTCGATAATCGTATAAGCTAAAGCACAAACGTATCAGAATTGAATTGAGAATGCATTAATTTATGTAATTACACAGAACCGTTATCAAAAGTTGTATTCAATAGATATCACGAAATTATAAAATATGATAGCTTAATAATGTATATGGTCGTGCAGAGATATGTACATCGAAAGTAATGAATTTTTCTTCTTCTTTAATTAAAATTTGTACATTGGTAAACAATTGACACTTCTCTTCCCTTCATAAATAAAATACTATTTTATTTTGCAGGCAGTCAACAGGTAGCATCATCTCTAGGTATGTGCTAATCTCTTGCAATGATATATGCAGTACGAGTATTATAACGCCAAACCCTTTTGCTTCTAGTGTATCTAATATGAAATGTTTTTACAGGAAATAACACCCTGGAATTGCGATCAGGAAAATTTTTTGGTATGCATTTTTTTTACCTAGAAAATTTTGAAATAATTTGTTAATTATTTTCATCAAAAAATGTTTGAATCTTAAATTTATAATAATTATAATGGTAACAAAGTTGATTAAAATTTCAATATACGGTAGAGTGTAACAATATTTTGTTGTTGTGATATTGTGAAGTGTCAGTAGCAAAGGACAATAGCTTGTTTAAAGATACCTACATGTGCGCTAAATTTGGTTTTGTGTCTTGTGTCAAAATAATGAAAATAAGATTGCAATTGCAATATGAACTAGGACTACTAGGAGCACCCTCCTTCTTGCAGCTTTATTGATACAAGATATTTGTTCTTACCTTTTTTTTGCTTCCATACAGTTGTTCTCTACTTGTTTAATCTGGTATTGTTAATAATATTAGTGGTTCATTGGTTTGAATTATAAAGTTCCTGATGTTGCACTAGAATGAGAATATATTTCTAATTAAAAATCAATTCATATGCCTATATGATTTCACACTTAATTCACATTCACAGTTGGGTTTTAATTAACAATCCTGTTACTTTACTCAGAGCCATCAATCGTATTTCGAACAGGATAAACATGATGACAAATTTACTCTTGTCCGCAACTGTCACTTTCGGATTTTGTACTTTTGATAGGAGCTAGAAGCATCGTTCACATTGTTCATATAATAGTACTTAAAAGAATAATAATTACTGATAATATGACTAACGAAAATTTTGACAGTGCTACTAATTAATAATACAATTAAAAGTGATAATATTAATAATATTAAAATTAATAGTGATAGTATTAATAAGCATAATATTAATAGTGCTAATAATTAATAAAATTCATAGTTGAATCCAAAAAGAAATTAAACATATTATGCTTATTCGGTACTTAGCTCTGGAGCTGAGTGCCAGCCAGATCAGGCCGACGGTTCACGGTTTACCGCCAATCTAAAACCCAATCGATGAATATCCCACGTACACCATTCAGTGAAGAAACCGATACCGAGGGAAAAACCAAAATTGAGGTTAACAACAACAAAAAAAGAAGAGAGTGGGTATAACCTCTATGGCCCCCTTCCTAGAGCCCTTGGCTAAATGAGGCTTTCACAAAATGGAAGATGCTTGGACACTTGAAGAAATTTGTTCTGTTTAAATAAATCCCATGCGGCGAAATAACAACTGCCAAATAGAAGACAAGCTATCAGGCGAAACTCCAAATAGTTGTTCAAATTAAATCCCGTTTATACCGGTAAAACAATTCGTACCAAAAAATAGAACTTGCAAAAACACAGCTACTAACATGAAATCGTCTTCAAAAAACCAATCAAAACTGCTGCCAATCAATTTTTATAATTCAAAATCTTAAATCTTTGAATAAATAAACTATACTTAAAATAAACTAATAAACTAGTAATTTTCGTAATAAAAAGTTGAAAATCCCAGATTAAAATAACCAGAGAACTATTATTAGAGATACATCCCTATTAAAAATTATCTCTGTCCTTGTCGACCCATTTAATAGAACACAAACGATTAGTTTCCGCAATGAGTGAAAAATTTTCCATAAGGAATGTCGCTTCACGTTACAACACCTCTGTAAAGAAAGACAAGTGCCGAAAGCCGAGACTAGACGAACTTTTCACATGAGAATTGTTTATAAAATATTTGAAAAGACGTAAAGACAACGAATTTTAAGAAGATTTAACACTGTAAAAAATTAGATTTTACGATGAAAGACGAAGTATTATTATAGCAACCACAAATAATAAGTACTTTAATTATAAGAAATAATCTATTTATGTACAAAAAATATTTTCTTGTAGCAAAACTTAATATGCAGTGATACAAGGACTTTATTAATAATGAAAATTACTAATTTTGGAAAACGAAAAGAAACAACAACACAGGAGTCAGAGTTAAATATTTAAGTCTAATATATATCCTTTATAAAATAAAATGATTAATATGAATTCCAGACCATAACAAGCGCAATGAAGGTGTTGGTCGAGGAACTCTGATTGGAAAGGGGTTGGCCACGTCTGCTAAAGAAGTTGCAGTACGAAGAAGAAAGGTGATTAATGATGATTGGCCCCCTACCAAAATTAGGGGAAAACAATGGGACAATCACGTTTTAAAGAGGATGCGACAATGACAAGAGGAAAACCGCGGACCTACTTGGCAAGAAGTATCAAATCTCTCCCCAGTGGTTAAGTCATATTTGGCTTAGTGATACTCTTTTATTCTGGAAGGTTTATTAAGGTAATTAGGTCCTCTAAAATGATGATAATTCTGAAATCAGAAAACAATTGGTAATTCCAAAGACAAGAATAGCTGAAGTACTTCGTCAGTTAAACGATAGTCCATCAGAAGTTCATCTCGGTGTTAAGGAAACCCTTCATAGATATTATAAAAGGTTTTATTGGATGAACATGATATAAAGGACTGGTATAAGAAATGCACCACCTATACTATGAGCAATGGATCTCAACGGAAAAGGAAGACTTCCATGAAACAATACAACATCGGTAACCAATTTGAGAGAAATGCCTTAGATATTGTTGGACCATTCTCCGTGACCGAGAATGGTAATACATACGTAATGGTGGTTATGGATTATTTCACGAGGTGGGTGGAAGTCTACGCCATTCCAAATCAAGAGGCCGCACATGGTGCAGACGAGTTGATAAAAGAGTTTATTAGTCGTTTTGGAGTGCCCTTGGAGATCCACAGTACCCAAGATAGACATTTAAAAAAACCGTTTTTCAGAGAAATCTGTGACAGACTAGGCATGAAGAAAACTAGACCTACAGCGTTTCACCCACAGTCGGATGGAAAGGTAGAGCGAATTAATAAGACCATTGGAAAATATCTGCTAAAAGTGTTTTCGAACTATCAGCCAGATTGGAATCAGTATCTTTTGCTCTTCGCAATGACATATAGAGCCGCTGTCAATGAATCAACCGGTTAAACACCAGCAAATGTCCTATTCGGACGTGAGATGAGACTACCGTGTGATCTCGAGTTTGTACGCCGACCTGTAGAATATATACCCGGTGAAGATTATGTAATTCAGTTACGAATTAAAATGCACGAGCTGCATGAGTCTGCTTGCTTGCATATTCAAATCGCCAGCAACAAAATGAAGAAACGGTACGATACCCAAGCCACAAAAGGAATGCGATAAAATCTGGCCCCATAGCCCCAAAAGACAAAAGTGTTATTCTCCAAGCTTCAAAGGTCTTGGAAAGGTCCGTAATTAATGATGACATTTACCGTATAAGTAATATCCCGGACGGTAAACCAAAGGAAGTGCACCAAAGCCGGCTTGCGCCATTAGATGGCGATCATGACAATGAAGAGGTAAACCAACTCCAAAAAAACACCTGACCTTGTTTTTGAAGAATTGATGGGTGGGTATGGATTAACCGGGAAGACAAGATATTATGGTGTTGTAACCTTTTGAAACAACAAGAATGAGCTCACGGTTCTAAAGGAATACTAGCTAGTCCTTAGTACTTCCGCCAGTATCAACGACTCACGAGGACTGGGATTTGTGTTTCGAAAGAAGTTTGGTCGATTACCAGAACTTCAAGGTCAGTTACGGGCTCCTGGAAAAGTACTGAAACTTCAAGATGGATCATGTTACCTTTTCTATCTAGTAACAAAGAACACCTTCTGAGACCGTCATCTTATCATGATGTATAAAAAACATAGTGTGAGAGAGCACATACTGGAGTCCAATATACAGAAACTAGCCATGCCAAAGATAGAGGGCAATCAGCTGAATTAAAGAAACATTAGAAGTATGGTAGAAGTAATCTTCCAAGATACCGAAGTTGAAATTCTGGCCTGCAGCCATTCCCAAGTATCCAGGTTACAGGGAAGACCGTCCCTTGTTACTTCCAGGTAAATTGGAAATGATAAAGGAAGGGTCCGCTGTGAGAAGTTACTGGAGGAATCCGATTCACACGAGATGACTTATAAAAGAAACGTTGCTACACCGAGAATCTTCTCCTACAGAGCTGCTTTTATATAAATAGCGTGATTTTGTATAGTCGAGACACAGTTAAAGCCAGAAATTTAAATTGTTATATAAACTAGATTTATAAGTGTGAAATATTAAATCAGTTAAATATTTAAGTATACATTAATTAATTAGTGTTTCGTGTATGTATTGTGTTGTGAATTTTATAAAGACATACTAAATGTTAAAATCAAAAACACAAAACAACCATAAATGGGGCAAGTAAGCCTATTTTGTTTTGGCAACCATGATCATCATTTTAAATCACGGGTTCATGGGCATCACTTGCGATTAAGTATTAGAGGTATTTACTTTTAATATAAAATTGCAGTGGTGGTGACTTTTCCTTTTTGGCATGCAAGAAGAGTACTTTACGAGATACTTTTATAATTATTGATGGTTCTTGACATTATCGAAATTAATATTAGGTTGACAAATTTTGGGCTCTCGTATTTATTATATAGTTATTAGTAGGTACGTGTGTATTTTAAAGTCTAGTTTATAGTTATTGTAAGTACATTTAGTTAGTTTGTACTGCTAGCAATTTTCCAAACAAAACAGATTTTAAAGTATTCTCGAGCCTCTGTAAGAGCTACTTCATATTTTCTTTTCTCTTATACTTCTGACCACGTGTTTGGTTTTCTCAAACATTAATTTTTCCTAGCTTGCCACCTTTATTATGTCAAACATCTTTCAGCGTCATTTCCGTTTATTACGACATAATTTTTCTTCTGATGGCCGAGTTCAATTTCGACATATTATAATAAAATTTTCGTTCGGTATTTATTATCTTTAATATGTATAATTTCCTACTTATAATTTTAATTTTAAATAATGTTTAATAATAAATGCCTTTAATATCTTAAAGCTATCTATGCTTATTTAATAGATTGACTGTCAGTCATTGATTTTACTACGTTATCTCTATACTTAAACAATTTAATTTCTACTCAATTTTTATTTTATCCAGTTTTGATTTTATATTTTTTTTTAACTCTTTATTCAAAACCTTGTATTGGTATTGTTTTATTAGAATTTAACTAGTGGTTTAGGTTTCTCCAACATAAATGAGGTACGTTCAGTTTGTTTTGGTCTTTATATTTTCCACCTTTCAATAAATTGACTCCATGACTCTCAATTTGGGTGTGCCTGCTTTGAAACCGATCGCCAATTAAAAATTGAGTTTGTGAGAAATAAAGGACCTTTCATTTACACCTCTGTACTCAAAATAATATACCGAACAAAAGGTAAGTTGAATTATAGTAAGGTGAGATAAAAAGATGAAGACGTAGTTGGAAGGAAAATTGAGCAGAAGAAGTAGTAAGAGGAGAAAGTACAGGAATGTAGTAAGAAAGGCGCAGAACAAATATATTCAAAGACGTGAGGTAGGTGCGAGAGCAGAAGACAAGGAGAACAGGGTATATAGAAAGACAGATATTAGATCAGAAGGCTGGAAAACGGGGAGAAAGAAGAAAGAAGATCAGAAGAATTTTTTGTTTATTCATTTAGTTCATAGAATTATTTTTTTTTATTTAGTTATTTATATTTGTAAGAAGCCAGAGGAGCCACAAGTGTGCGTTAGAATATTGAAATGATTTATTCTTTCTTCTATGAGTGGACTATTCCTATGAGTACTATTTTAAAGGAAACATATATGTCTAATATAACCATAGACATATGCGTTTCCTTTTTGCCTCCGCCCCGATTGCCTTAGTAACTATTCAGTGAAGTTCTCTGAAGTTTCAAAAATGTATTTTGTCAATAAAACATAAAGTAATAACGCCAAGACAATCGCATATTTGACCAAAGGTAAAGACTTATGATGTAAGTGATACTGTAAAAGAAGCAATTAGAAATGTATTTTAAATAAAAGTACTAAAACTAGCTATCAGAAGCATTTTTTTGGGTGGGTTTTAAAATGATAATAAAGAACAAGTTATAATCCATTTCCATTCAAATATTTATTCTCCTATCCTAGACGATGTTGGTGTGTATATCTGGACATGCTTCATATTTACTTATTTAGTATGTTAATCATAATTCATAAGTTTAAAGGGTCTGTTACTTACAGTTTTAAAAGTAGACAAAATGTTCATATCATCAATATATTTTATTTTTGTTGAGTGAAACATTCCTGTTTGGTTTAAACATTAAATAACAGTATTGATGTATTTAATTTATTTAATTGGACAAATAATTATTAATCTTGCATTTTTATATTGTTACAGATGAAAATCCACCAATAATGTCTGGTAAGTTCATATACCTACAGTAATGCCTCCCTAGATTGGAATCATATGGAAAACTTTTTTATTATTAATTTTAGGAAAAAAGTTATTCTTCATAAAAAGTTCTGCATTATCTAAAACCTAGAATACAGTCATCAAATATCAAATTTTTTTAGTGGTATACGAGGTTTGTCAAAAATACCTTTTTTCTTTATATTACTAATAAAATTTGATATCTGATGGTTGTATTTTACGTTTTAGACCATGCTCGAGTTTTTATAAAGAATACATTTTTTCCCAATATTAATAATAAAAAAGATTTTCATATGCCGCCAATTTACGTAGACACTTGTTGGCATAGGAAAGCTTTTTTATTACTAATTTTAGGAAAAAAAGTTGTTTATAAAAAGTCAAGCATGGTCTATAACCTAAAATACAACCATCAAATATCAAATTTTATCAGTCGTATAAAGAATAAAGGTACTTTACTCTTGAGTAAAACTCATATTTTTTGACGAACCTCGTATACCACTGAAACAATTTGATATTTGATAAATGTATTCTAGGTTTTAGATAATGCAGAACTTCTTATGAGGAATAACTTTTTTTCTTAAAATTAATAATAAAAAAGTTTTCCATATGATTCCAACCTAGGGGGACATATACTGTATATTATATTTCCTAAATGTGTTAAAAAAACAAAACATAAATTTACATAAAAATGGAAGAATTTATTCATATACATACTGAGTTTTCTAATATAGTAATTACGACAAAACCATAAAAACAAAAATTGAATATCACACCGATTTAAGACATATTTGCCTATTTATTGTAACGGATGGATATTATTAAAAATGTAGGTTAGGTACGGTTGAAAATGAGTGGGATGATCTCATCGCCTTCCACTGTGACCCAGGGTCTATTGTGGCTCATGACTAACTTATAGTTCACCGTACAAGCCAGACCTTTTGATAAAGATCATGGTTGAATTGGGTGAGACTTCTTTAAAGTCAGTAGGCTCCAGTCGGGTAAATCCGAAGTTCTGGAACCTGGTTCTTTCCACAGCGGAGCAGCTACATAAAATGTGCTCTGCAGACTCCTCCACGCTGCAGAATCGACAGTCCGATGTTTGTTGCAGACCTATCCTTCTCATGTGGTTGCCCAGACGACAGTGTCCTGTCATCAGTACAGTGAAAATGCGTAGATCTTTCCTACTTTATTCTCGGATCTGAGCAGAGCCGTTCAGAGAAGGGTTTGTTATAAACTCCTACGAATGAGTTAGCCCTGGGGTATCTCTCCAGTTCGTGAGTGTTACACCCTCCGTCCATTTTGTGATAATTCCTTTGGCAATGCTTTTTGCAATGCCCAGGAATGGTTTTGGTCCTATGAACACAGATTCGGTTCCTCTTTTAGCAAGTGCGTCGGCTTTTTTGTTGCCCTCTACACCACTGTGTCCCGGAACCCAGATCAAAGTAACTTTGTTCCGGGCATCGAGGCACTCTAGGCCCTAGAGTCTAGGGTATTTATACAGTTCCAAACCAGCTTTGAGTGAACTCGATTGGAGCTCAGGGCCTGAAGGGCTGCCTGACTATCTAAAAAGATCTTTATAGTCTTGTTTGCGGGGAGAAAATAAATCAATTCTCTCGCTCCCAATTCTATACCAATCATTTCTGCTTGGAAGTTCGTGGCCAGAGAGCCTAGGTTTATTGATATGTCAACTCTAGGCCTCTGGCCGAAAACTCCCGCTCCTACTCCTTTTTCAGTTTTGGAGCCGTCCGTGTAACACGCATAATCTGCCTGGGAGAGGGTTTTTTAACCTCTACTCCATGCGTCTCTCTCTAGAATGAGGACGCTGTATGGCTTTTCTATGTACTGTCGGGGAACTAGCGAGCCCGAGACCATGCCGAGGATGGAGTGGTTATTAATTTCATTCGTCAGCCCCGTCTTGTCCCAACGCAGTTCTTCGTAACATTGACTACCCACTTTCAGGAGCCTGTGTGAGACCATTTTGGCCTCCCTTTCCAGCAGATTGTGGAGAGGGGTTAGGCCCAGCCTGGTCTCCATGGCTCCGGTAGGTGTAGTTGACATTGCTCCAGTTATGGCGAGACACGCAATCCGCTGTATTCCAGCCAGCTTTGAAGTTGAAGTCCCTTGTCCCACCAGACGACAGAGCCGTACGTAACCATGGGTTTTATCACTATTTAGTATCTCCAGTAGATCAGTTGAGGAGTAATCCCCCATGCTTTGCCGCATATCCTTCTGAGGGTCCAGATGGATAATCTGGCTTTATTGATGGTTTTGTCCAATTAGGGGTTACAGGTGAGTTTCTTATCTAGGGTGATTCCCAGATAGTTCACCTCCTCCGCAAAAGAAATGGTTTCCCCAGCCAAGGTAGGTTGTCGAAGCTTGTCGAGCTTTCTTCTCTTAGTGAAGGGGACAATAACAGTTTTGCGGGGGTTAACAGACATCTGCTCCCTCTCGTACCATCTGTTGATCGTATTAAGGGCTTGTTGAAGGATGTTGGAGATCACCTCTTCGAACTTTCCCCTAATTATGATAACCAGATCATCCGCATAGCATTGGAAATCCACCCCCTGTCGGGAGAGATCGTCTAGCAGGTTATCCACCAGAAAAGTCCACAGTAGGGGTGAAAGTACGTTGCCTTGTGGACATCCTCTGGCAGGCCTAAAAGTGACAGTCTCTCCCTGTAGTGATGAAGTGATGTTCCAGTTTGCTAGCATGCTTTTGATCCAGTTACAGGTTAGTCTGTCGATTCCTCTTCTTTCAATAGAAGAGAACAAAGATTGAGGAAGGGCGTTGTTGAACGCGCCTTCTATATCTAGGAAGGCACCTAGCGCAATCTCCCCGTGATTTAGAGAATGGCCGATTGTGCCTACTAGATTGTGCAGGGTATGATCTGTCGATTTGCCTACTTGGTAGGCATATTGAGAGGAGTTTAACGGGTTTGCCCGAAGGCCTCTTTCTCTAATATGTCTATCTAGAATACTCTCTAGTGTTTTTAGAAGAAAGGATGTCAGGCAGATTGGACGATAAGAGTTGGTAGGGAGGTATCTACTCTACCAGCCTTTGTATATACACGACTTTCACCAACATCTATCCTAGTGGGATATAGCTCCACGCCAGGCTTGCTCTAAACAACCTCACAAGGAGGGGTAGCAGAAGTTCCTGTCCTTTTTAGTAAAAGGGCGGGAAAAATGCCATCCTCTCCGGGTGATTTAAAGGGGGAGAATTTATTCATCGCCATTTCACGGCGTTTGGAGAGACAATTTGTGCAACAAAGTTCCAGTGCTCCTTTTTGGGTCGTATAATCGATTCCGTTAAAGGAAGGGGTACATGTTGCCTGTCCTCCAGGATTCGACTGCCTGGGAAGTGTTTCTGTAAAAAAATCTCTAAATTTTCCTTACCGGAGTCCGTATAGGTGTTGTCGGGTCTTTTTATCGAGCCGACTTCCTGTCTCGGATCTTTGGCGAGAATCTTTTGAAGTCTGGCACTTGCAGGTAAATCTGTTATACTCTGACAGAACTTCCTCCACGATTCTAGTTTGGCCTTTCTGATATCCTTGTTGTATTCCGGTAAAGATTTGCGGTATTTTTTCCAGCAGCCAAATTTTTTAGCTCGATTGAAGAGATATCAAACTTCTTTTCTTTTTTGGTCGAGGCTTCTGCTCCACCATGGAGTACTCCTCAGGTCTCTTCTCTCCTTTAGTGGGTAGTTGTCCTGATAGGCATTAATAAGGGCATTTTGAATTTGATCATTCGCCACTTCAATCTCTGCGCTATTCTTAATAGTTTTAATTACGTTTCCAAGCCCCTCCTGGAGGGACTTTTCGTGGTGGTAGAGGAGGTGGAGGAGAATCTTTATTCTCGCTCCTATTCTCCTTATTTCCCTTCCCTTTGGTTTTGAGGCCTTTGCGCACTTCTCTCTTGGACAGGGGTTGTTTCCCCTTGTCTTTTGAGGAGGCGGGCCTCCAATGAGGTTTCGCGGGTCCAGGGATCCTCTTGCTAGTCACTTTGGCTGCAGGAGTGATATTTTCATGTCCTTCGTCCTTGGCGACCCTACTAGAGGTTCCCGAGGCAGACGGCATCTGTTGAGAGTCTGTTGTTGGGACTCTCTCCGTAGCGCCTCGGTGGTCTCGGAGCCAGAAATGCACCAGTCCGAAGCCGAAGTAGGGCCGGAAGTTCATCCATTCCAACTCTCTCCTCGAGACATTCTCGATGGAAAGCGTCCAGGTGTGACCCAGCTGGACTGAGGCTACCCGGTGTAGACAGATCCACTCCTGGGTTCTCAGGCCTCGGTTCACTATCCTGAACCGCTTTGTTATCTGCTCCCATGTTAATCCGGTGGATCCTACATCGTCAGGGATGTACACCACGCAGATGAACGGCTTGGGTATTTCCTTACCTTGAACCAACTTTAGACGTGCGTCATTCCATGGCCGAAATTTATCCATGGCTCCCTCTAGCCACCGAGCCGTTGAAGCGTCGGCACAGTCCAGAAGAAGATGACCTGGTCTGAGGGTGCAGCCCTGGAAACGGATTTGGGGTCCGTCCACAGGTTGTCTTCCTATAGTTCTCATGATTGAGAGCTGTATAGCTTGCAGCTGTTCATTCGAAAGCTGGACGTCAGGGTGTTCTGGGTGAATAATCCCCACTCGAACACTCTCCGCCGCGGCCTTGAATGATCGTTTCGGCTTGACTACGGCATCCCTACGGAGTTTTTTTAGTTCCGTTTTAGGACGCTGTCGTCGGAGCGTTGACGTTTGGTTCTAGACTCCTTTGGTGGGGTTTGTTCCCTTACCGGTTGTCTAGATTGTTTAGTTGGACTCGAGAGGGGTGGTTTACCACTTTCTTTCTCCTTTAACTCTTTGAGGGTCTGTTTCAGGGCGGATTTATAGTCAGTGCAGCGCTGAAGCATCATTTTAAGGCGCTTTCTGGTCGCTCCGGTGAACCTTTTGGCGTGCCTCTCGGGTTTATTTGAGGAGGTTGGTGCCTCCTCTTTCTCCACCTGAGTTTCATTTCCTTTGGAGTTGAATGATGCAAGTAAATCATCCTCCATCTCCTCCGGAATGACGTTGTTTGATGGGGGTTGAAGAAACCTCCATCGGTTCATCGCCAGATTTCTGGAGATCGGTTAGTTAATTTGCAGAAAACCAAAATCTAAATGTGATGTTTTAAAAAAAACTGTAAAGAACTGATTTGACATGTTGAAAGAGGCTGCCTCATACTTGTGCGCACTTGGTACCTAATATGAAATAATACCTGACTAAAACAAAAGTATGAATACATACATTCAAACCAAAGAGACGATATAAACAGTATTCTGCAATATGACATATGGACGCACTTCGAGTAACGGAAAAGTGTAATGAAAATGGCGACTTGAGTCGTACTTTAATTGATTTGAAGTCAATAATTTTTTATACTTGAAGACTGACTCAAAATGATTTTATATAATTTAAATGAAGCCATTTAAAAAAAATAGCATTTATTCTTATCAAAACTTACTAGCACTATCTTCAGTTTGACATACGACACTTTAGCATCGTCATAGCATCTTCTCTTTATTATATCTCAATAATACAAACATTATATTATACAGAGTGTTAGTATATTCGATTATGTTCTATCATTGATGAATTTTGATTTAGGAACATGAACCCTTAAAGTGCTTAGTTACCGAGATACAGGTTATTAAAAGTTTAAAATACAAATTAAATTTATTCTATCAATCAAAAACCCCCTCAAATTTTTTTTTTCAAATTTCATCTACTAAGATCTTGTCAAATACACGATCTATTAAAAATTTGACACTCGTGTCTACTAGCTCAGATTTTATAAATATTGAGTAGTTACAAATTATCTAATATAAGTACTTGCAAACTTTTATTTAGAAGCAAATTTCTATAACACCGTTCATTTTGGCTAATTATTTTTTTTAACTAAAAATGAACAAAGAAATAGAAAAAATATATTTGTTCCAGTAGCGTAAAAAATAAGGGAATAAAACACTGATAGAGCAGTATTGGTAAACATTTTAGAAAGTTAATTTATGTCAAAATAATACTTTGTCAAAGAAGATATCGATCACCAAATTTGAAAAAAAAATAAGTCGTTTGTATTCCTATAACAAAATTTATCATTTATCAAAAGCTCTCTGAGATAGAACACCCTGTATACAGTGTGTGCCATAAAGTTGGTTCCATATGGGTTTTTTTAATATTATGATTAAAAAAAAAACGTCGTAGGGCAATCATTTCTGCTTATTTAATAACTTAAAATAGTCCATATCAAAGTTGGCTACTGACATTAATTTTCTGTCAATATCACAATTAAAAAAAAATTTTTTAACGGTTTCTTGTAAAAATACCAAATTTAACAGATAACTGATGGGATACTTTAAATTTTTAAAAAAGCAGGGTCTACGACGTTTTTTCCAATCGTAATATCAAAAAAAATCCCATATAGATCTAACTTTAGGGAATACATTGCATATGGATCCGAACTACATACCCTAAGCAAATAAAAACCGAAAACAATGCAGAAGTGATTAAATGTTAAGTATAATTTGTAAGTTGAAACGCAACAATAATGTATTTTCGTTTTTTTTTACAGAAACAGAAGAACTGTCTAAAGCAGGTAACTATTTAATTTTTCATTTTCAATTAATAAGATAGATATATATTTAATCACCTAAAATTTTAAAATTCGCCTTGACTGAATCTATTGTTTGGATAAGCTGGCAACTTTGTAGAATAGGTTTTATGGCTTTATTAGATCCATTGTGTCAGAGGCCAAAATATTTCTTCATAGTTCGTGAACAAGCCTCCTACATCAAATTACTGTACTTATACATATACAGGATGGCCATTTGAAAACGAATAGAGCCAATTTTGGGCAATCGAGATCATTTACGAAAAAATGCAAGAACCCGTCAATTTTTGATTTTAAGGGAAACATTTAGTTACTGGTTTCACCTCCCCAAACGGAAACCCTCTAGTGAAGATGAGACTCACCCCTAAAATCATACATGGAAAGAGGGGTCGAATGATATCTTACTTCAGAGGTATTTTTACCTAGACTGTAATCCCTGAGTTATAAATCGCTACTGTCTTTCTAGCCATGATATTTTAACGATTTTTATTTTCTTTAAATGCTTACCAGTCACAAAATAGGTTTTGTTCAAAATGATCTCGGATATTTTGAAGCATATGTGGGGTGATTTGATGATATTCATCAATTATCCGTTCCAGTGATATTGGCTGTGTGGCATAAATTCTAATTTTTAAGTGGCCCCAGAAAAAATCTAACGGGGTTTGATCCGAAGACCATAAAATACTTTCTATTCTTTCGATCCATTGACCGGGAAACGTTTGATCCAAATACTGACGAAAAGTTAGTTCAAAATGGGGTGGGGCACCGTCTTGCTGGAATATTAAGTTGTTTGCTATGTACTGATCGTTATTCTCAATCAACTCTAGTTATGCTTAATAAATGGCGTTTTCTAATAAGTCCAGACACACATCTGCGGTTAAAGTTCAGGTAAAAAAAGGAGACAATTATACGGTTACCAAAAATGCCAGCCCAAACATTCAGTTTTCCGGATGTTCCGTATGCACTTCATGACATATTCTGTGATTTGAATTAAACCAATAACGAGAGTTGTGACGATTTAAGAAAAATGTGCATTCGTCTGAAAAACACAAGTTGGAAAGAAAGTGTCCTAAAATCGCCAGCTCTGTAACTTCATTTACTAAAGCATTTTCCATTTCACGTTTTTTGTAAGCTACAGACTCCGTTTCCCAAAATTTTTGGACTAACTCCAAAATATACTTTGGATGGACTTGTTGATTTTGATGTTGATTGTTAAACAGTTATATGCACCCTCTCAGCAATTGAGTAAACCATTATCACTGATAAATTACTATAAAGACCTACGAAATTTAACCAACAAAACTATTAGATTAGAGAAAAAAGCTTATCTTGAATTTCAACTTCGAAATCAAAAGCGTAACAACATCTGGAAGGAATTAAAAAACTTGATGTATACAGTAAACCAGTAATATATATACCTGAGAATTTATGCAATGTTCAAGAAATTCATAAATACTTCATTAATATTACTAATTCTAATAAAGTACCTGATGATGATCTACTACAATTTTATCAAAACACTACAATTCTAAATGAAGGAAATTTTTCATTTAGTCATATATCCGATGAGGAATGTTACAAACAAATGTTATCAATAAAAACACAAGCCGTGGGTGTGGACAAAATTAATATCAAGATATTATTATATTGTTGTCCTTTAATTATCCCTTACATAACTCATGTATTTAATTTTATTCTAATAAATGCTTGTTTTCCTGACCTTTGGAAGAAATCATATGTCATTCCTCTTCCCAAGAAATCATCTCCTGAGTCATATTCTGATCTCCGACCCATAAGCGTTTTATGTTGCATATCCAAAGTATTTGAAAAAATTCTAGACAAACAAATTAGAAAATATTTATGCACTTATAATTTACTTCCTTTGAGTCAGTCTGGTTTTCGCAGTGGCTTTAGCTGTACCACAGCATTACTTAAAGTTACTGATGACATTCACAGAGCATGTGATAATAATCTGTTGACCATTTTAATTCTTCTTGATTACTCGAAAGCTTTTGACCTCATTAATCATTCACTTCTTTTGGCTCTCTTGCACTTTTTTGGATTTACGTATAATTCTATTAATTTCTTCAAAAGTTATCTAAACAATCGGTGCCAGGCAACTGTCATAAAACAAAACTCGTCTGATTTTTCTTTTATTAATTCTGGTGTTCCCCAGGGGTCAATACTAGGTCCACTTTTATTTGTCATGTATGCTTTTCAATTACCTTCTGCTCTTCAAAACTGTCAGATTCACACTTATGCAGATGATACGCAGCTCTATTACTCTTTTGAAGAGAAAAATATTAAGGATGCTTGTAATAAGATTAATGATGACATTTTGTCACTCGTTCATTTATCTGATAAGCACTGTCTAAGCATAAATCCCTCTAAATCAATAGTTCAACTTTTTAGCCGACCCGTTGCAAGAAAACGTAACCTTAATGGTTAAATTCTACAATTTCACCAGTAAAAACATCAACAAATTAATATTTTACATCTACTAAATAAATAAACAATTCTCAAATAGTTCGACTGCTTTTTACCCTAATATAATGTGAAGTCATAAAACTATAAATAGCATTTTTCTCAGAATACCGAACGTCGAACACCTGTGTTTTCAGGTGCACAGCGGTGCATTGGAACAAAATGAGTGTCCGGCGCATAGTTAACGAAGCACAAATGACGTATTTCATTATGTCATGATGTTTTCATTGGTTGAAACCGAATAGGTGCGTCAACTATGGCCCGGACACTCATTTCGGTCGAACAGTATATATTAGGGCGAGCTCGACGCGAACGGCATTCAGTAGTTGTCTTTTTGCCATCATCGCTCACAGTTGTCGTTGCTATCCGAACGTTCAGGTGCTTTCTGCCGACGGCACGTTACTTTCTACATTTTTACAAGCGTTTAATGCATTTTATTTTCTGGTGAAAGTTATTTCTTCTACAATTATTATGGCATAAGAAATTCTACAAACAAATGTTTTCAAGTTGGTAACTAAAAAATCAACTGTATTAGTTAATCAAATTGTGATGAACTAAAATTGTAAATATTTTAAAACTGTTTAGTGAAGATAAGAAAATTATTATATCTAAATGGAATCAACTACTATGTATTTACTTCAGTGAAAATAGTGAATTAAAAACACTTCTTTTTCTACTACCTATGACTCGTTAATTATTTCAACAAAAGAACCCAATTCTTCTAACACCAGCGACATATCCTACAGAACATTATTACCAAAGAAATATTCGGAAGTAACACCGGTATTTTTTCACTTAATAATGTAAATATTAGCTTAAATGGAGATCTCTTAATGCTGCATTCCTCTGCAAAAAACCTAGGTATACATATAGACAACTCACTACGATTTTCATCCCATATATCAATCATTACAAAAAGGTCTTATTGCAGTTTAAAATTATTATACTCTAATAAGAGTTTACTTAATAAAAAAACTAAAATAATGCTGTGCGACTCACTGGTTTTATCACATGCAAACTACGGAGACGTAATTTACGGACCATCCTTATTAAACAGTGATAAAAAGAGGTTACAAAAAATTCAAAATTCATGTGTACGTTTTGTTTGTGGCTTGAACAGAAGAGATCGTGTTTCCGCTAATTTAAAAGAATTAGGCTGGCTCAATATGGCTGAGAGACGAGCATTACACGCATGCTCGCTCTTTCAAAATATTTTAAATTCTGCAACACCTCCTTACTTATATAACAAAATATCTTTTCGATGTGATGTACATAATATAAATATACGGTTTAAATCCAAACTCACACCACCACTTCACAAAACTCATCTATTTCATCTTTCATCTTTCACTTATTACGTATCTTGGCTTCTTAATAGGTTACCCATGCATTATCTCAGTTTAAACAATATTAGTTTAAAAAATTATGTAAAACGAGATTTAATGAATGGTACACTCTTCGTTGTTAAATAATTAAAAAAATTTAAGTATTGGGTTTTGGAAGTTGGCTGTTTCTGGTATATAATAGAATATTCATTTTACGGTTAATTAACATTATTATAATAGGTTACCCTTCTTATGGTTTATTAATATTATTTACTTTTTGGTATTTTTACTTTTTTTGAAATATTCTAGTTAGTTTTAGTTTTAACGGTTGAGTGGAAGAACAGGTTCTAGTATTGCTCCGGCATAATAGAAACTGAACTCTGCCTTTTGGCTATAATTTTATTTTGTAAAAAATTATAAAAAAAAATGTATAATTTGAGCCAATAAAAACATTATTATTATACAGGGTGTACCAATAAAAACTCCCAGGCCGGATATTTTGGTAAGTAATAGAGATATTTTAATTCTGTAAAAGCCAGTTTATAGAGCGCTAAGAGATCTTCAGTTTTAGATATAAATTGATTTTAAATAGGTCAATATGTAGATGGCGCTGCGCTCAATAATTATTTTTCGATGGGAGGATCTTTCTTATGTAGCGCATCTTGTAAAAAATGCATTTTTAAGTTAATTTTGTTCTATGAACTAATTCGATAAATCTAGCCATTTTTGATATACAGAGTGGGTCATTCAAAACAGTTTCATCCTGTTTTTCGGAATTATTCATTGTATTTTTGCAAAATGCTAAAACAGGTCGATTTTTATTCTAAATTAAACACATTTTTGCAATACAGACATCTGTCATGTGTCAATCTCCTCCCTTCCACTTCTCCAACCCCTTAATTTTAAATAAGGAATGTACCATGTACGGCACATCATTAAAAAGGTAATTTTATGGGGAAGTCATAAATATGACAGTTTATTGCGAAACTTTTAATTTTAGCGCCCTCTATCGGGATAAAAAATCTGTAACGTATTTTAAAGTGTGACACTTCATTTGAAAGCTAATTTAAATACTAATTCAATGCGCCACATAACATTAATATAAATATTTCCATATTGCACTTGCAACAAAATAAAGTTAGCAATAATGTTTAAAATAATGCATGACTAATTTTTAAACTATTGCAAGTGCAATGTGGATATTTATAATAATATTGTTATTAATTAATGTTATGTGGTACATTGAATTAGTAATTAAATTTGCTTTCAAAAAAGGTGTCACACTTTAAAATACGTAGTTTTTTTCCCGCTAGAGGGCAGTACAATTAAAAGTATCACAATGGACAGTCATATTTCTAAATTCCCCATAAAATTACCTTTTTAATGATGTACTACACATTGTAGTATCACACTCTACAATACGTAGTAGTTTTTTATCCCGCTAGAGGGCGATAAAATTTAAGTAACGTAATTCACAGAAATATTTCTGAATCCCCCCTTAAATTACCTTTTCAATGATGAGCCATACATGGTACATTACCTATTTAAAATTAAGGTGTGGAGAAGTATAAGGGAGGGGGTTGACACATGACATATGTCTATATTGTATAAATGTCTTTAATTTAGAATAAAAATCGACCTGTTTTAGCATTTTGCAAAAATACAATGAATAATTCCGAAAAACAGGATGAAACTGTTTTGAATGACCCACTCTGTATATCAAAAATGGCTAGATTTATCGAATTAGTTCATAGAACAAAATTAACTTAAAAATGCATTTTTTACAAGATGCGCTACATAAGAAAGATCCTCCCATCGAAAAATAATTATTGAGCGCAGCGCCATCTACATATTGACCTATTTAAAATCAATTTATATCTAAAACTGAAGCTATCTTAGTGCCCTGTGAACTGGCTTTTACAGAATTAAAATATCTCTATTACTTACCAAAATATCCGGCCTGGGAGTTTTTATTGGTACACCCTGTATACCACTTTCATGCCGACTCTACAGCGAACTAAACTAAACCTTACTACTTTACAACGACTGAAGAATATCATCTGGTAACAATATTGAAGGCCGCAGGAATAAAACAAAAATTGTTACAAAAAATTAATTTTTTTTTTTAATAACAATGCAAAAAGTATGTTAAATCCGTTTTTTTACTTTTGGTTAGCTACTGTATGGGCTACGTATAAAACTCGAAGGTTATAATCTAGGTAAAAATACCTTCAAAATAAGATCTCTTTCCATTTAAGATTTTAGGAGTGAGTCTCACCTCCGCTAGAGGGTTTCTGTTCAGGGGGTGAAACTGACAAAAAAATGTTTTCCCCTAAAATCAAAAATTGACAGGTTCGAGCGTTTCTTCGTAAATGTTCTGGGGTGCCCAAAGTTGGCTCTGTTTCATTTTCAAATGGCCACCCCGTACATTTTTAGACACACCATTTCAAAACTTTTAATATTCGTTTTTCAACAGAACTTAATTGTTTCTTTCAATTTTATTAGTTGTTTAATAGTCTGGATTTTGAAAAAAGCCACGTTTTCTCTATCACAGAACAAGTTATTTTTTCCTATTTCTTGACCATCAAAGCACTAGACTTGTTTCAGCGCACTCGATATAATAAAGAAAGATCATACGTGTAGATTATATTAGATTGGTAAATAAGATGTTTTGCTCTAGAAAGGTACAGGGGTAAAAGGGGCTCATGAACATTTTATGTTTTTTTAAACAGCGATATTAAGGTTGAAATTCTAGTTTGAGAACGTTACGCTGCTTTTTTTTAACTATTCGAAATTAATCTTATATAAATTAATTAATGAGTAGACTTTTTAAGCATTTTGAGATGGTTTGTTTTTCTGTGAACAAAGATAAATAAAAAAGTTGCCTATGACTACAAAAATTACAGGGAAAAAGGGTCAATTTTATTTTTTTTACACAAACAATAATAACTGTTGTATTTAGAAAATTGAGCTTAACATTTCAAACTTATCAAGCAGTGAATTACTGATGCTGTAAGTTTACAAATGCTGAATGTCCCGTAACTTCTCAGTAGATATTGGAAGCTTTCCTAAATGTAAAAATGTAGTAAACAAAAATTGAGTAGGCATTAATGAACAATCTGAAATAACCACATAACTAACTTAATTTTGAATATCAGTCGAACTTAGCTTGTTAAAATGTTTAAATGTGCCATTTCTTGTGCTTTGCGTTGTTTTTGTTACTGCATGCTTATCCATTTATTAATTGTTACTGCTGCTGATGATAAATAATAATTTAGCTTTAGTTAATTGTAAAATAATTAAATATATCGATCAGAGTGATTAAATAATGTATCTATTTATTTACATTCCCAATACGACGACGAGATTTAATATTGCATTTTTATTTTTTAGTCGAGATTGTAGAAGCCCTGCATTTACGTAAGTTGAAATTTGTCTTATTATGTTTTCTAAATAAACTAACCACAATCAACATATTGAATCGACAGACGCGCTCAGCTTGAGGGCAGTGAGATACCAAAAAAAGTAGAGAAATATACGCATGAACCTAATAAATATATTAAATTGAATTTATATTTTTAAGTTATTTATGTGATTTTAAAATATTGTGCTGTTATAAAATTTAACTGGGTGTTAACTGCACAAATGAACCAATGGAGAAACCGCCTCTGGCGGGCGAAGAGTCTAGGAAATCCTACAGCAGCCCGCTTGGTCCAGGGAAGTTAGGAAAAATAGCGGAAATTTTTAGGGACAGGAGATATCGAGATGCGGTTTTCTGCATTGTGTTCAGGAAGGACCCAGGAAAAAAATCTATATCGTCTGGTTTAGCCATTTTTTGAAAAATGCCTTTTGGACCGGAAAATGCATTTTCCAATTGCATCGTTACTTGCACCATTAGAGGAACGACTGGAAACTCGGAAAATTGCTCGAAAAATCACTCGGAAATCGTTACTCGGTTGTTTTCAGGGCTGCTTAACTCGATTCTGGCATTAGAATTATCTGGGGGTGTCCAGGGGCGGCTTTGTGGGGATGCGCGGTGGGGAGGGGAATAGGAGGAGAAATGGCAGCGTGCATGAAAATCGCTTCAAACTCGTTAATCGGGGGTTTTCGGGGATGACGAATTTACCCGGGGCGGCTCTGCGGGGGTATGGCGGTTCTGCGGGGGTATCCGGGGGGTCATTATGCGGGGAAATTGCATAGTCCATGGAAAGCGCTCCAAACTCGTTACTCGGGAGGTTTTCGGGGATGACGAATTCAATTCTGGCATTAAATTTCGCCGGGGGTGCACGGGGTGGCTCTGTGGTGGTGCGCGGGGGACGATTTGGGGAAGAAATGGCAGTGTGCATGAAAATCGCTCCAAACTCGTTAATCGTGGGTTTTTTGGGATGCCGAATTCAATTCTGGCATTAGATTTCCCCGGGGGCGCTCGGGGGTGGCTCTGTAGGGTTGTCTGGGGGTGATTGGAAGGAAATGGCAGCGTCCATGAGAATCACTCCAAAATCGTTACTCGTGTGTTTTCGGGGGTGCCGAATTCAATTCTGGCAACGTGGTCCTTAACAACAGATGTAATACTTATGCCACACAGACCAGTGTTGCCAGTGTTCCAAAAAAAATCGTAATAGACAGGCGCAATAAAACGTAATAAATTTCAGTGAAAAGTAATAGATTTCAGTTAAATGTCTTTACATTTCGGCGCATGCGCACATTTCAATGGATTGTTTCAGACCTAATCCAAACTGTTTAAGCATGCGCGATATAAAGGTAGTTATATTTTTAAATTGTGCTCACTGGAAATGTAAAAATTGATTGCGCATGAGGGAGAATTTAATAAGGTATTTTTATTGAATGAATAGTAATAGATTTTAGAAAAACGTAATAACGTAACATTTAAACCAAAAAAGTAATAGATTTATTACGAAAGTGATGACAAGAACAACCCTGACACAGACGCCGACTGCGCGCGGGAACTGGACCCATATTTTTTCTCTTCAGTCGGTACAGAGTATTTCTGTTCGCGCTGGTCCCCGTTGTAACGATACTCTACTCTCTTTATAGCTTTAGCGTCTTTTTCAAATCCACTTTCGAGGCACAAAAGACTTCCAAAGCAATTGTTTTTATAATATGTGTAATATTTATTTAATATTCAATTAAAATTTTTATTATTCATACCCCCAGGTAATTCTAATGCCAGAATTGAATTCGGCATCCCCGAAAACACCAGAGTAACGAGTTTGGAGTGATTTTCATGCACGCTGCCATTTCTCCCCAATTAACCCCCCTCCCCGCGCACCCCCGCAGATCCAGATCCGTGCACCTCCGGATAATTCTAATGCCAGAATCGAGTTTGGCAGTCCCGCAAACCCACCGAGTAACGATTTATGAGCAATTTTTCCGAGTTTCCTGTCGTTCCTCTAATGGTGCAAGTAACGATGCAATTGGAAAATGCATTTTCCGGCTCAGAAGGAATTTTTCAAAAAATGGCTAAACCAGACGATATAGGCTTTTTTCTTGGGACCTTCCTGAATACAATGCAGAAAACCGCATCTCGATATCTGCTGTCCCTAAAAATGTCCGCTATTCCGTCGGATCTGATCTAAATGCCCTGGATCAGCTCTCAACTGCGAGAATAAAATAAACTTCCGTTACCTTTATCCACCATTATCCTTTTGGCCGTACTTAACATAAGACTACTTTTTATTTATAATTTAATATTCTTGTATGTTTGCAGTGGAACCTGTCGAAAAATTGGGTAAGTTCTTTTTCATATGTCCTCAATCAATACTATTTTAAAGAAATGGCTATGAGATCTTGATTTTGGTTGTAAGTTTTGTAAAATTTTATTTTTATAATTTATTGATACGTTGTCGTCATCACAAAGGATATAGTGAATGGTATATTTATTTTTTATTATAAAAAGAATCAATACACTCAACTGAATTTACCTTCCATGGCTTCTTTTTTAAGTACCGTTTTCTAATTTTCCATTTGTGACATCCAGATTTTTTAAGTGCCAGTCTGAATATCTCCAATGACTTCTCAGTCTTATGCCAACTCTACACTTGATTTGCCAAAGGGCAACAACAGAGCCAATACCAACACCAAGCCCAACACCAAACCCAATTCCAATGGCTCATGCAGGCCAATTGGAGACACCAATGTACTCTCCAATATAACCCAACTGCCTACTACCGCTACACATGGTCTCAGGGGTTGGTTTTAGAATAGGCCGCACGAGTTTTGAGAGCATTATTTTTTACATCCATATACTAAGCGTGGGTCATATAATGTAAGATATGATCGTACCGACACTGACAGTAGGTAAACTTCCTTGATCACCTTGCAACCAAACCTAAAACATGCGGTATATGACTATCTATATTTTACTGTACCACTTTACCATAAAACTAATACCAACAGAAAATAACAAGAAATATATTATTACTTAATTTTATTCATTCAGCTCTAAGAACTAAGTTTTATTCCATTTAGCTCAAACCGATTTTAATTATCCCGTTTCTCTTAGACAAACTAAATTCATTTGACTATTCTTTAATTTGCAATCGTCAATGCTTTAATTATATTTTATGAATACCGTAGCGGACGGGCATCATGCATGTCACAATCCACTAGTTAATTTATAGATTTCGGGATTTGCCACTTGTCATTTATTATAAACTTCTTCAGTAATTGAATTAGTAAATGAAGAATGGTATTCAACGCCTGAAATGTTCGTTTAAATAATGATTTTTTTCTTCTTCTAGTTTTCCATGTTGTTTGTACAAAAAAATATTATTATTATTATTAAATTTTATAAGAATTAATTAGATGATATATATTATAACGAAGGATTATGTAAAAACTTTTTTTTTTGCAGTGCACGATCATTTAAATTCGATAAAAGAACAACCAGGTATGTTAGATTATTATTTTAGCAAACACAATATTTATCATCCAAGTACGGGCTATAAACCTTTTCATTATGTGATGAGCGCAAGCGCAGCCGCCATGTTGAAATAGCGGTAATTTAAAAGTTTCGTACTGTTTTGATCAACAATGGTTGGGAAAGCAATATTATCTCTACAAAAATCTCAATCATTAGAAAAATCGTTGATGGCGAGTCACTTGATTATAATTTTGTTGAAGCCCATAGTTGAGAGCAATTAAAAAGGTGGTTGAAGAGTCATGGATATCTGCCACAAAAGAAAAAATGTGTGCTGACTGAAAGGTTGCAATACTTATTTACTGTGTAAAAAATTAATGAAAACACATAATAATTATATCTCTATTCTAATTAATTATGCCAACCGACTATTAGTACTTGCAAAAACACTTTAATTAAGATGAAAGTTAATCACGAGTATAACTAATAACATAACTCATTTAATATTTTGAGAATCAACATTACATTTTTAATCATAATACTGTGTCTACCGAAGTATTATTTAACATTAAAAAAATATTGTGTAATACCAGATAATACATTAATAATATTTTTTTTAGAGAAAATGCAATAAAAAAAAAATATACCTGTCGACCCTGTAGTAACATCATCAATCGATCGAAAACCTTCGTCACTTCGACTTCATTTTTTTACCCACAATGAACATTTTGAATATGTTTTAATATGTACGAGTATTTTGTTCGATGATTTGATACAACGAGTTACGAAATAAATATTTTCCTTTCATTTGACCATGTTGTACTACTACTATTTATGTTACAGAGTCTCATTACGAACATCCACATACAACAGGTAAGTGAGCTATTTTCCATTTATAAAAAAGAAAATTCTGAAATAAGCATTTAACAATATTTTTTTATCTTATTTTCAATTTTCCAACTTACCAATACAGACTTAAGTTCTATCCCGTTTGAGTCTGCTACTTGAAAGATATACTTGCAAGTAGGGAGAGGGATATACCTGGAACTCCTAGAATCACAAAGCACATAAAAGGTTCCAAGTGAATGACCAAGGTCAAAACCGACAATTGGCATTTCTCATGTTACTGACTCCAAACACTAGTAGGCACTAGTGTAAAACTTAACCACAGTATAATTAATAATACAGTAGAGATAGCTTGAATCGGCTTCTTTGATGTAGTAGTATTCCGATTTTTTTTCGCTTATTTATACACTGAGAAAAGTAACTTCAAAATATCTTGCTCCTTTGTCTGTTTGAATAAAATATCACACAATAAATGAAAGATGAAGAACAAGTCTAAATATAATTATAATGTATTAAAATGTACATTATAACCCATCAGACAATCAAAACAATCAACCACCATTTTTCCATTGACAAATTACATATGCCAGTTTGATCTATTTGCCGCTTATTTACTAATATGCGCAAAAAAATATGGAACTCATAAACAATGAACTGTCACTACTGTATTATTATTCATACTTTGATGTTAATTTATATTTTTGACTGTTCACTAGATCTAGAAGTATGAAGTGTAAAGGAGGCCAATTTTATATGGCTGCTTTCTCAAAACGTATCCAAAAATAAGACAGTGTTGGAAAATGAATTCATTGGAAATGCCTCGTATACTATCTTTTACACAAGTATTAGAAATTAAAAATTTAAAAAAACCGACTTTAAAAACGTGCAGATGCCATCACCACATCTTAACCAAATTTATATGGGGCCACCCTTGAGGTACACCCTTACTAACAAAAAAGAATCATATAAATCGGACAAAGTGGTAAAGCATTATCGCTAAACATACATAAAAAATGAAGAGTTTGAGGATTTTTTTCATGGACCCAATTATTAGATTTTGACCAAATTTATATTAGACCACGCCCGAAGTACCCTCTTTCTAACAAAAAAAGAATCATTGAAATCGGACACCGTGTTAAAGAATTATCGCTGAACATAAATAAAAAAAATAATATTGCGACGAATTGAGAACCTCTGCCTTTTTTGAAGTCAGTTAAAAAGTAGTAAATAAGGTTTCAGAAAGTGACTAGAATGGTGTACACGAGCGGGACTCTGTCTATCCCATTTGTACTGGGGATAGGGGGAGTAGCGGTATTTCCCCAAAAGTAACACTTTCCACATGGTGCCTTAAGCACACATGTGGAACTTTAAAATTGATCTCTTTCGAAACCACCTTCATTAGATGAAGGCAGGCGAAATTCAAAATTGAACAGGATCCAACCTCGAATGAGGGAGGCAGTATGTGCCAATTTTTACAATTTTTTACAATTTTTACAATTTAAATTTTTAATTCGACATACTTATTTTTCTGTGGACACATAGTGGTAAGACACCTAGCATTTCTATAAAAAACGTTATGTTATCCTTAAATCATTATTGCAGATTGTATCTAACTACTCACTTACAAAAAAATTTTTGTCTGATGATGACCTTTTAGGTCGAAAGCACTTGCAACCCAACCTAATAAATTTATGTGGTCGACAGACTTTGAGCCTTTTACTTCCCTTTAATCTACTTCGGACCACTTTGAGATATGGATAATATTTGGAATTTTTTATTTATGTTACAGTTCTAGACGACTTGAGCGCGTATGAACATACAGGTATGACTACATTTTATGATCTATAATCTATTGGAATGATAAGGAAATTAAACAAAAAAGTTAAATTGGTTCAGTTGAGGAGAAAATAATTTAATATCTACAAAATTTCTGATAATAGCATTTGTTTCCAATTCGTTAATTAATTATGACAACAAACTATTAGTACTTGAAAAAACACTTTAATTAAGATGAAAGTTAATCACGAGTATAATTAATCACATAAATTATTTAATATTTTGAGAATCAACATAACATTTTTAATCATATTACTGTGTCTACCGAAATATTATTTAACATTAAAAAAATATTGTGTTATACCATATAATACATTAATAATAATTTTTTAGCGAAAAATGCATTAAAAAATAATATACCTGTTGACCCTGTAGTAAAATCATCAATCGATCGAAAACCTTTGTCATTTCGACTACATTTTTTCACCCACAATGCATATTTTGAATATGTTTTAATATGTATTTTGTAAGATGATTTGATACTTTTTTACGATATTGCAGGCTTTGGAAAATTTATAAAATAATATGTCACTTCTACATAATATGCCTTCTCCATAACAACACCGTTTCGTTCTTCCTTTTCATACAGATAACATAATAATTATAATTAATTGCAAAAATTACTTTTTCCTTTAAGACACATATTTTTGTTTTCCTTTTTTTAAATAAATATACTTAAATTAATATTTATCGATTATAATTTTTTTCACGTGGGCATTTTAACATGCTTGTTTTTAAAAAGTACGAAAAAGATGGCATTCGCACAATTTTTTTAATGAAAAGGCCTATTAGTAACAAAATAACAAATATATTTCTGCAATTATCCACCAGTATAGTAACTCGACATACAAAACTCACATATTTTATACAGTGCTTCTCAAAAGTCCCCTCCCCCCTCTTTTCTTTTGAACGGTGATACCTAGACTGATGAAATTTGGAGGGTGGAAATGAACTATTGTAAGCTTCTCTACTAGTGGTAACAGGTGACGTAATATGTGACGTCAGCAGGCAACTGAAACCAATAATATTAAAAAAACATCGTATATCCAAAAAAAATAGTATGACTGAATAGGTATTCTAAATACCTTTTAAACGAGATGTCACTTGCCATAAGGTCCCATTTAATATTATTGGTTTCAGTTGCCTGGTGACTTCACCGATGCCTATTACGTCACCGATTACCACTAGTAGACAAGCTTACAATAGTTCATTTTTACCCTCCAAATTTCATCACCCTAAGTACCACCGTTCAAAAGAAAAGAGGGGGAGGGGACTTTTAGGAAGCACTGTATATGTGTCAAAGTTAGAAGTCAAAATTAATGCAGATTTTTAAATTCCTGACGAAATTATAGCGAAAGCAAAAAAGCAACTGAAACACTGTTGCCAAAAAGTCTAGAGACATCTACCGCAACCAATATTATCAATGGCAGATGCAGCTGTACTGAACTTTTAACAAAAATAAATCTTTATATTCCAGACCGACTAAACTCGACAGCAACAAACATTTTATGAATAGATAAACCAGATATCTAGTGACTATCATAAAACAGCAGGTAATTTACTTATCAGTAGGCGGCCGTCTCTACGCAGAGACCTACCTACTCTAGTCATTGAATATATAATAATAATACTCTCCCTAATTCACCCCCTTACGAGTGAATTTTAACCCCAAAAGCTGAGCTTGTGCGAGAAAAGGGACAGCTATTATTATTATTATTTGCCGTGGCGCTCCGGGACGACTTAAAGATGATTGATGATGCCATTTGACTTACAGGTGAGGAAAACCCGGAAAACCTCACCTACCATCATCGAGACGGTAATGCATGGCGATTTTATAATCTGCATGTCATATCAACAGAAATTGAATTTCTATTAACACGGCACACATCAAATCCTATACCGAACCATGCAATTTAAATAAAAATCCACATGGTCTGGTCTGTACCTAATATAATTATTTAATAGTATAACATGGTAAAATTATAAAAGTAAAAATCGGTATGACAAAGTACGAAAAAGTAGATAAGTAATAGAAGTACTAAAAAGAAGAAAATAAAGTATTTAAAAGTACAGAATGTAGGTTAAACACATAAAATATAATTATTAAAAATAAAAATCCACATGGTCTGGTCTGTACCTAATGTAATTATTAAATAGTATAACGTGGTAAAATTATAAAAGTAAAAATCAGTATGACAAAGTACGAACAAGTATCTAGGTCATAGTGATTGTTTCTACCCTTACATTGTGAAATCTATTCATAATAAATAAAATATTAAAAAATGAAATGTAAAAATTCCACTATTGTCAATCCTGACGATAGAAGTTTATGCTTCTGAAACAATTGTCGGTTTTGAATTACTCAGATAAGTATTTTTATTAATATGGTGGAATTTTTACATTTCATTTTCTAATATTTTATTTATTTAAACAAAATTACTCAGTTTCACTTTCACTATCGTCATTCAAATTATTAATGAACCTTTTTCTTGGTATATTTTCTATATCAATATATTATAATGATATTTGTCCACCCACATATAAAATAAATTTAACTATAACAGTAGAACACAAATACTCTTTCGAAATCAGTCGAACAACAAAAATAATAGCTAATATTGCAAACTAATAATATTAAGAGTTATAATTTATCAAAAACTATATAATAATCACCATTAAAGTCAATATTTAATTTGTTTATCTAAATTTCTTTGAATAAAAGTATTACATGTAAATTCCCATAAAAATTTTCATCAGCCGATTTCATGAAAGTCTGTTGTTAAGAATATAAAAATTGTTCAGGAAATTAAACCATAGGAATACAAGACTAGGTTTAGAACACAAAAGAGTCAAAAACTAGATTAATTAAAACAGGAGAATAAAAAGAAAATCACGAGATAACCTCAAACTCCCAAGTTAAAATAATGTGAATAAAACACTTGTAATTGCAAAATATAATAATAGTCAGAAAATTTGCCATATGCAGAATAATGATATGAAATTTTAACTTTCAAAATTAAGTTATAAAGAAATTAGAAGTGTTTTAAATCGACCAAAAATGTGAATAATTTATTAAAAAAATCTCAAGAAATTCCCAAATTTAAGGGCTGAAATTTCACCAGGATACTAAATGAACTATTAGTAAATAGAATTAGTGAAAATTTTCCACATTTATAAACATAAAAAAATATATTTTCGACTTTCCCTTTATTAAATTCGCGGAATTTAATACAACAATTCAGTCAAGTTGGCGTTGAAATGGCTTTTCAATAAAAGCAAAAACGCCGGCCAAGACTGGGATTCCGATTTTAACTCTTGTCCAGATAACTATGGCCCTTGTATCAAAAACAAATGAAACTGTTGCCAAGCAACGAAGATAACCTGTGAAAAAAAGGACAAAAATATAACGAAAATTCGACTTACTGCTAAATAATGTAAAACATAGTGAAATATTGTGTATTTCCTGAACATTTCGAGCTTTCCTGTACAGATAAACAGAAAAATTCATCACATCGGGGATCCAACAGACAGCGACTTTATGAGGCGAGGCAAACAAACTACTTGTGCGCGATCGCTATTCGTTAACAAGGTGCCTATAAAATATGATCATATTTGCATAAATTTAGTAAACATAACGATGATTTAATTTTACAATTGTTCAAAAATATTTGTTTATATTTATATTTTGCTCGGATTTTGAGGTTAGGTAACCAAAATATGACATTAATAGATAAATTCTCCTAATCCAGTCAAACATCCATTTAATCAAAGGCCGTGACTAGCCACACGTTAACCTGCCGCGAGTGCCCCGATCCTGAAAAATTAGCCACACGTAAAACGTCACTCATGACGTCATGGTTTGTTTACTTCTCGAATCTCGATACATATAATACATAACCTTACTATTTAATTACCGTTTATGTGCTGATGTAGTTTGCTGCACAATTTTACATAATATTAACATATCTTGATTTATTTGTAAAATGTGTTTACAATAACGAGGATTGCAAGTAGAAATTGCCAAACCTTAAACGGAGGTAAATTGTAAATTACCTTCTACAATTTATATACAAAACAAAATCAGGCTTTCCATTAGTAAAATTTCGAACTTTTTACTCATCTCAATTAAAATATGGATCGAACGGGCTAAAGAACAAGGAATGTTTTGCATGCATGGGCATGAACATGAACTCAGGATATAAGATTTCTGAATGCACATGATCATCAACATTTGTAAAAAAAGTTGTACATAAATTAACAATATTTTTACCATAAGTATTTTTTCTTTGTTTATGCAAGATTTAGAGGTATTTTTATTTATATATTTTATTTTGAAAGTATTTTTCTTTGCTTCTTCAATAAAAGTCTTCTTAATTTAGTTCTATATTTTATAAATCTATTTTTTCATTACAAGTTCGCAGTTTTTTTTTGTATTTTAATGTAAAGTTCCCCTTTTTAATTAGTAATAGATTCCATGAGCCCATAATACAAAATATTCTTTGTTTTATCTTTATTGTACTAGTATTGTTCTGGACTAATTTTATTTTAATATCTACCTATATACCTTTTTGAGATTTTTTTTTAGAAAAATTCAACTTTAAAAAATGGTTTATGATAAACAATAATTTGTTATTTCTAAAGAATGTAGCTACATTTTTTACTTTCCTGTTTAAGTAAGAAAAGTATAAGAATTGTGATTTTTTTTTCGAACTCGAGTTTTCCATTGATTTTTGTTTTTGGGGTCCCTTGAATCAGTTTTTCCCATTTTTGCAATGATGTCTGTGTGTCTTTATCCACAATAACTTAAAAGTAGATAAAGAGAACTTAGGATTTAATCCATTTTATGGAGAGCTGACTAGATTTTGAGCATAGTCTTAGCATTAGAGATACTTTGTAGTGGTAATTTTTCTACATTAAGGTATACTTCTGTTATTTATGATTATAGAAAAAAATTCTTTCAATAAAAGTTGTTTGTGATGCCATTTTCTATAATTTTTTCGTTATATAGTTTATCTAAAATATACTGTAATAAATAAATATGAAAAAATTGCTAAATTTGAATTTTTAAGTATTTTCATTGGCAATGAAAATATCTTTTAATTCATATTCTGAACAGTTTTTGATTAGATGGACCGTACTCAAAATATTTTTAATAACTTTACAGGAAAGTCATGTATGTGTTGGGCACATCATATTTTTTTGTCTTATCCAAAGATTAGTTACTGGTAAGATAGGACAACCTGCATATTTACTTGAAAGTTTTAACATAAACCTAGTTTGAAGTGTAAATACAATAATAGGTTTGATGTCAGGCTTTATAGAAACATTTACACAATAAGCCTCTAAAATCAGTACCTACTTATTATGTTAACGTTAAGTTGCCAAATCTTCAAAAGTAAAAACCAAACCGACTGTTAATCAGAGAAGTCTGTAGGACTGGCAAGATTGTAGATGATTACTAATAATTTCAATCAAGCCAAATCATGGACTAGAATTTGCAGGGCTACATTTACATTATATTAATCTTTTCTGAATGTGCTATCTTAGCATTATTAATATTTACTTATCTTTTGTTCTAAACCTAGAAGGTTGAGATAAATAAAAATAAATAAAATACCTTCAGTTATCTTTGTTTTCTTCTATTATTTCATTACAAATCTGGAATATGAGCTAACTGGATAAATCTATGAAATTAAGTTATCTTCATCACAAGTAGAACAAATAAGGTAAAATAAGTACCGAGACAAAATTTGGAATAGTCAGCTAAGACTGAGATGTACTGCAAACTAAACTACTCCTAAAAAAACTGCTTTGTCTCAACTCTCAACCAATAATCAAAGTAAAAACTTAGTATGGGATAAAATTTTAAATTATTCAATTTTAAAATTTTGATCACTAGTATTTGAATGATCTTCTTTTAATATGTATTTGAGTTGAGATTTTTCTACTACTGTGGCAGGTATATTTTAAAAAACCAGTACATAACAAGCAATTTTAAAATCAAATCACCATGACTAGGAGAATCATCAACAGTGATTTATTTGTAATTGTTGTAAATGAGATTAATAAAATATTAATATTACATTAATCAGATATTTTCCAATATTTCGTATTTGTAAATAGGGCATTTGATTTAATACAGCTTACTTACATAAGGAGTTTATTATGTGTTAACAAAAAGAAAACGTATCTCAAGAGCTAGAAACTATGTTATTGTGTATTATTAGAGAAGGTTGTCTTATTCTTTCACTTTCTTTTCTTTAAAATATGCAATTCCACAATTTAATTCGAGTTCTATATCGTTTATTATGCTCATTAGTAGACCTCTACCCGAGCCTCTACCCAAACCACAGAAACCCAAACAAAATAAGCCAAATTAAAAATTGATTGATAACTACCAAAGAATACCTATGTATTCTTTGATAACTACAAAACTAACCTAAAGACAACTGTCATACTGCGAATTCCGTGACGTCACATCCATGACGTCACTACCATGATTTTTAACGTGTGGCTAGCCACGGCGTTAATCAAAACGACCTACTCACGTGGAATAAATTAAACAAATAATTTGTAGAAAATTTTTACCTGTAATAACGTAATTAACTCTACGAACCAACATACGTGAGTAGGTAAAGTAAATTTAAAATACGAATAAGCCATACAACCGAAAGGTGGTAGAAATAAAAAAAAAACTTAAATAAAAACACTGCCAATACAATTTAAATAACAATTGTAAATATTATTCCAACTTAATTTTTTTATTATTCATTTATTTATTTCTTCATTGTTTATTATTTCGTTTACAATTCCTATAATAAAATAATATGTTCTGTGTTTACTCTTTCGTTTCTTTTGAGCTGTCTAGTGTTCCATGTTGATAAGGTAAGAATTTAAAAGAAGAATACGGCCATTGACTGAATTCTAACCCAGGAAGGGACTTGAATTCTAACCCAGGAAGGGACCTGTGTTCTAAACGTTTCAAGCTGGCCGGATAGCTGAAAGTGTACGACAGAGACAGTGGTTAGAGAGGAACGTTAAGGGGGACAAAGTTTAAAAGTTGCTCAATTAATATTTTTTTTTATTTAAATAATTTCATTTTTTTGTGAGATTTCTCACTGGCGCTCAACATTTCGTAATTTTTTTTAATGAAAATTCAAAAATAAAAATAAAAAAAAAATATTTTTTTTTCATTAATTATCAAAACCCCTTTAAATTCATCCCAACTAAATATCACGCCATACATGATTTGGCGCGATATTATGTCTTTTCCACCTTTTTCATATGGGAAAAACACTTGGTCCAGCTGCTATCAGGAATTTTTGCAGCTTTTAATTGAATAAGAGCTACCCATAGTCGAACTTAAGGTTGGAGAAGTATTATTTCTTCGAACTGCAGCTAATGTGTCACAAAAATATTTCTTTTGTATTAAATAGCTTTTTAAAACTTTCAGTAACTGCTTTTTTGTGTACTTTTCCCCAAAGTACAAATCATTGTTTACCATGTAATCTTGTATAATGGCTTTCATGTCGTTTGAACAAGGTACCTTATCTAGTCTTCGACTATGGTAGCTCGCATTATCCATGACGATAACACTGTTGGTTGGAATATTTGGCAAAAGTTTAGTTTGGAACCAATCTTCAAATAATTTGGCAGTAGTGTCGTCATGGTAATCGACTAAGAAGTCCTTAATATTTTTTGCCGATAACGACAACGCATTAGATATAAAACCATTATTTTGTTTGGAATATTGTGTGTATCGAACCAAGTTTCATCCAAATACAAAACTGTTCTGCCAGCTTCTCTAAAATCATTTATCGTCAATAAATATTGAAATCTCCATTGCTTAAGGCGCACAGATTCTATTATGACTTTTTTGCCGTTTCTAAAAAGAGACTTCCTTAAAGTCTCTTTGCTACACTGGATACCAGTTTCGTCCTTTTCAAGTCGTTGCATCAATATATCTAGTGTAGGCACAATTTGCTCTCTATACAAGTCATATATTTTCCTTCGAATTAGGTCTACATCACAGCCATCTAGTTTCTTTGAAGTACCAGAGTCTTTTCTTTTCCTTCTTTTTAAAATAGGGTTACTTACTATTTTAAATACTGTAGAATACGGCATTTACGTTAAAGAGGCAGTTTCTTGCACTGCTTGAGTCTTGGTCATTCCACGTTCCATAAGGGAGGTATAAACAATTATTTTTTTTTTATCAACGTGTAAAACTTGTAGATTAGTGGTATTACCACCACCAGTTGAAGTACTGGCTACAGGTTCAACCCAAGGACGAAACATTTTTCACTATATACAATTTTTAAGACACTTCGAAATAAACTCAACTGGCACAACGGAATATTTGTTAATGACTGAATTTAGTTTAACTACTATCCTCCTTTTGTTTCTAAAAACGGTAATTGGTCAGTTCTCAAAACAGTTACATAACTCCCCATTATTTATTTAACTTTCTTTGATCTGTCTGGAATTATAGGAATCAATATCTTAAACAATAGTATTCTTGTCTTCAAAGTCTGGTAATTTATTTGTAACTCTATATCCCATTATCGCTAATCTCCTTAATAGACGTTTAGAACAGAAAGTCAGGTAGTCAGGCAAGTAAATTTTATTTATAAGTACTTTAAATTCTAGGAAATTTTTTATTATAAAAATAGTTTTTACATTCAAAACTGTTAACAATTGAAATAGAGAGCCTCCAATTTTAATATTATTAAAAAAATATATTCTTTACTATTTCATGAGAATATACAATATTTTAAGCCGGACCTGTGAATCATTTAACCAACAGACAATTTTATCGCTTATCTACAAATCGAACAATAGTTATATTGAGGGTCGTCGGCTAATATGATTTATGAGAGTCACTAGATCTCTGGTTTTACTATACCTTTTTATCGTTTAAACCATACTTTTAGCTGCTGTATTCCAAGAATGCTAAGATTAGCCAACACTCATAACGATCTTGGTATATTTAACACACCCTTTCATAAATTTTTAAAGCAATTAGTACTGAGCTCTAATATTTGATCTTTAATTTTTAATGTTCAATGTGAATATTTTATTCAACATTGTTGTCTCTTGTCATTTTTAAATCTTTTAAATTCTTTACCTATTTTAGTCTATATGTAATGAATTATACCACGTTTGTATTTCAGCACCATATATATTTCACTAAATTTTATTTATAATTTAAAATTGTAATAATTTATTTCTCAAATAGACTTGCCCGTAAATAAATGAATAAATAGCTGACAGAATCCGCATTTGAAAATAAAAATCAACGGGTTTTGGATTGTTTCAAGAAGCCAACGAGTTAGGAAATAAATATTTTTCTTTCATTTGACCATATTATACTACTACTATTTATGTTACAGATCCTCATCACGAACATCCACATACAGGTAAGTAAGATATTATCTATTAAAAAAAAAAATTCTGAAATTAGCATTTACCAATATTTTTATATCTGATTTATAATATTTCCCGTAAATATTGCCCGTAAATAAATGAATAAATATGAACCATTTATAAATTAGTTGAAAGAAAACTGTAAAAAGTACAATAAAACTGTATTGCTTGGATACTTTTCCGATCTCGCTAAATCATTTCCGCGAATTCCATATGGTCAAAATATTTGTTATTTTTCTTTATGCCCTTGCGAACCATAAAGTGAACTTTATGCCCGCATGGGTATAAATTATAACGTTAGGTAATTGTTAACTAGGCAATAAGAACACAATAATGAACTAGTATAACATAATAGTTATTAATTTACCAAGGGTATAAATAGATGTTTATGCCCTGAGGGCGACGTTTTACAAACCCAAGGACCTCTGAAAAATTAATTTAATTACTAGTATTAAAACTAAAATTGTAAACGTGGCGTGGATGTAAGGACAGAGATTCTGCCTTCTACGCGTAATGTACGGATTTGAATCTTGGCTGGGGACTAATTAAATTAATCTTTGTTTTTTCATGTTCATTTTATTTAATAAATTAGTAAAATTCATAAATTATTTTAAAATTATGTATTTTTCCTGAATAATCTAAAATTTTTTTTTAAATTTGTAGATATTTGATAGTGGGTCGTAGAAAAAATATATTGTGAAACTCGAGTGCACAGACTACTATTGTGCAACAAGAGTGAATCAGCTGATAGCCATGTGGGTGTAGAAAAAACTTTTTTAATATACATGAATTGTTAGTTTTTGTAAAAAATTTCTTACTTCTAATTTCCAACATGAATAATACGACTAACGTGAGAGTTAAAAACATTGTCTGCACATGGTGTTGTTTAACTCGTAAGTTTATTGAACATAGTGTTAAATTTATTTTGGCCAGCTTCTATTGTGACATCACTAATACATGGTATAAACCCCTGGAAAGGTTTCGATGAGGTGATTTTAAAATTATAACCTTTATAAAACTGCACTATGTCGTCATAGTTCAGCTTCGAGTTACTGAAATATAACTTGTGTTGCAGATCACGATATTCACAATCAACATTCATCTCCAGGTAAGAATAATTTTTATGCAATTTTTTTGAAACTAATAAATTTATTATTTTAGTTTTATTGTGTCTTGAAAACACTATATATTCATATTTTATTATTATGGACTAAGACGAATAAATACACATACAGTAACAAGTAATAACCCTTATATATTTCAGACGACAGACGACAGACGACAGACGACAGACGACAGACGACAGACGACAGACGACAGACGACAGACGACAGACGACAGACGACAGACGACAGACGACAGACGACAGACGACAGACGACAGACGACAGACGACAGACGACAGACGACAGACGACAGACGACAGACGACAGACGACAGACGACAGACGACAGACGACAGACGACAGACGACAGACGACAGACGACAGACGACAGACGACAGACGACAGACGACAGACGACAGACGACAGACGACAGACGACAGACGACAGACGACAGACGACAGACGACAGACGACAGACGACAGACGACAGACGACAGACGACAGACGACAGACGACAGACGACAGACGACAGACGACAGACGACAGACGACAGACGACAGACGACAGACGACAGACGACAGACGACAGACGACAGACGACAGACGACAGACGACAGACGACAGACGACAGACGACAGACGACAGACGACAGACGACAGACGACAGACGACAGACGACAGACGACAGACGACAGACGACAGACGACAGACGACAGACGACAGACGACAGACGACAGACGACAGACGACAGACGACAGACGACAGACGACAGACGACAGACGACAGACGACAGACGACAGACGACAGACGACAGACGACAGACGACAGACGACAGACGACAGACGACAGACGACAGACGACAGACGACAGACGACAGACGACAGACGACAGACGACAGACGACAGACGACAGACGACAGACGACAGACGACAGACGACAGACGACAGACGACAGACGACAGACGACAGACGACAGACGACAGACGACAGACGACAGACGACAGACGACAGACGACAGACGACAGACGACAGACGACAGACGACAGACGACAGACGACAGACGACAGACGACAGACGACAGACGACAGACGACAGACGACAGACGACAGACGACAGACGACAGACGACAGACGACAGACGACAGACGACAGACGACAGACGACAGACGACAGACGACAGACGACAGACGACAGACGACAGACGACAGACGACAGACGACAGACGACAGACGACAGACGACAGACGACAGACGACAGACGACAGACGACAGACGACAGACGACAGACGACAGACGACAGACGACAGACGACAGACGACAGACGACAGACGACAGACGACAGACGACAGACGACAGACGACAGACGACAGACGACAGACGACAGACGACAGACGACAGACGACAGACGACAGACGACAGACGACAGACGACAGACGACAGACGACAGACGACAGACGACAGACGACAGACGACAGACGACAGACGACAGACGACAGACGACAGACGACAGACGACAGACGACAGACGACAGACGACAGACGACAGACGACAGACGACAGACGACAGACGACAGACGACAGACGACAGACGACAGACGACAGACGACAGACGACAGACGACAGACGACAGAGACGACAGACGACAGACGACAGACGACAGACGACAGACGACAGACGACAGACGACAGACGACAGACGACAGACGACAGACGACAGACGACAGACGACAGACGACAGACGACAGACGACAGACGACAGACGACAGACGACAGACGACAGACGACAGACGACAGACGACAGACGACAGACGACAGACGACAGACGACAGACGACAGACGACAGACGACAGACGACAGACGACAGACGACAGACGACAGACGACAGACGACAGACGACAGACGACAGACGACAGACGACAGACGACAGACGACAGACGACAGACGACAGACGACAGACGACAGACGACAGACGACAGACGACAGACGACAGACGACAGACGACAGACGACAGACGACAGACGACAGACGACAGACGACAGACGACAGACGACAGACGACAGACGACAGACGACAGACGACAGACGACAGACGACAGACGACAGACGACAGACGACAGACGACAGACGACAGACGACAGACGACAGACGACAGACGACAGACGACAGACGACAGACGACAGACGACAGACGACAGACGACAGACGACAGACGACAGACGACAGACGACAGACGACAGACGACAGACGACAGACGACAGACGACAGACGACAGACGACAGACGACAGACGACAGACGACAGACGACAGACGACAGACGACAGACGACAGACGACAGACGACAGACGACAGACGACAGACGACAGACGACAGACGACAGACGACAGACGACAGACGACAGACGACAGACGACAGACGACAGACGACAGACGACAGACGACAGACGACAGACGACAGACGACAGACGACAGACGACAGACGACAGACGACAGACGACAGACGACAGACGACAGACGACAGACGACAGACGACAGACGACAGACGACAGACGACAGACGACAGACGACAGACGACAGACGACAGACGACAGACGACAGACGACAGACGACAGACGACAGACGACAGACGACAGACGACAGACGACAGACGACAGACGACAGACGACAGACGACAGACGACAGACGACAGACGACAGACGACAGACGACAGACGACAGACGACAGACGACAGACGACAGACGACAGACGACAGACGACAGACGACAGACGACAGACGACAGACGACAGACGACAGACGACAGACGACAGACGACAGACGACAGACGACAGACGACAGACGACAGACGACAGACGACAGACGACAGACGACAGACGACAGACGACAGACGACAGACGACAGACGACAGACGACAGACGACAGACGACAGACGACAGACGACAGACGACAGACGACAGACGACAGACGACAGACGACAGACGACAGACGACAGACGACAGACGACAGACGACAGACGACAGACGATAGACGATAGACGACAGACGACAGACGACAGACGACAGACGACAGACGACAGACGACAGACGATAGACGACAGACGACAGACGACAGACGACAGACGACAGACGACAGACGACAGACGACAGACGACAGACGACAGACGACAGACGACAGACGACAGACGACAGACGACAGACGATAGACGATAGACGACAGACGACAGACGACAGACGACAGACGACAGACGACAGACGACAGACGACAGACGACAGACGATAGACGACAGACGACAGACGACAGACGACAGACGATAGACGATAGACGATAGACGATAGACGATAGACGATAGACGATAGACGATAGACGATAGACGATAGACGATAGACGATAGACGATAGACGATAGACGATAGACGATAGACGATAGACGATAGACGATAGACGATAGACGATAGACGATAGACGATAGACGATAGACGATAGACGATAGACGATAGACGATAGACGATAGACGATAGACGATAGACGATAGACGATAGACGATAGACGATAGACGATAGACGATAGACGATAGACGATAGACGATAGACGATAGACGATAGACGATAGACGATAGACGATAGACGATAGACGATAGACGATAGACGATAGACGATAGACGATAGACGATAGACGATAGACGATAGACGATAGACGATAGACGATAGACGATAGACGATAGACGATAGACGATAGACGATAGACGATAGACGATAGACGATAGACGATAGACGATAGACGATAGACGATAGACGATAGACGATAGACGATAGACGATAGACGATAGACGATAGACGATAGACGATAGACGATAGACGATAGACGATAGACGATAGACGATAGACGATAGACGATAGACGATAGACGATAGACGATAGACGATAGACGATAGACGATAGACGATAGACGATAGACGATAGACGATAGACGATAGACGATAGACGATAGACGATAGACGATAGACGATAGACGATAGACGATAGACGATAGACGATAGACGATAGACGATAGACGATAGACGATAGACGATAGACGATAGACGATAGACGATAGACGATAGACGATAGACGATAGACGATAGACGATAGACGATAGACGATAGACGATAGACGATAGACGATAGACGATAGACGATAGACGATAGACGATAGACGATAGACGATAGACGATAGACGATAGACGATAGACGATAGACGATAGACGATAGACGATAGACGATAGACGATAGACGATAGACGATAGACGATAGACGATAGACGATAGACGATAGACGATAGACGATAGACGATAGACGATAGACGATAGACGATAGACGATAGACGATAGACGATAGACGATAGACGATAGACTCTATCGTCTTTTTTTTGGCATGGAGATATGTGACATTCAGCCAATGATAATTCGTATATAAGAGAAGGCCCTAACTAACTAAAGAAATAGAAATATAGAAGAAATACAACAAGGATTTTGAAATGCCACTCGCTTCTCTTCCAGGGGCCCATCAGGCATTTTTTTTATAAAACACAAACAAAACTAGTCCATGACAAAATCATCTTCGAAAAGCATTTGAACTTAAAGGATGTCACTTTTACTTTAGCGTGCTAAGAACTATTATTTCGTAAACTAGTATGGGGATTATCATCAAACACTAGTAGAACATCTGTTCTATGTTATTCGTTTTCTACTACTTTTATGGGGATCTTACATGGCCTGTTTCTCTAAATTTCTTTTCAAATTCGCTTACTGTGGATTGCGAAATTGTTTTTTAATTGTGATATTTATTGTTAAATAAAGCACAAACTTCTATATGTGTGCTTGTTTTGACTCTAAAACCAATCATTTTAAAAATTTAAATTCTTTTTATTTCAGTAAACTTAATTTTGATAAAAAGAGTTTTTAAATGTAATGTATTTGACTAATATTACCATTTATATTTGAATAAGAGAAATATCTGACAGAACACGCATTTGAAAATAAAAATCAACTTATTTTAGGACTACTACTATTTATGTTACAGAGTCTCATTACGAACAACCACATGCAACAAGTAAGTGAGCTATTTTCCATTTTTAAAAAAGAAAATTCTGAAATTAGTATTTAACAATCTTTTTTTATCTGATTTTTAATTTTCCAACTTACCAATACAGAAATGAGTTCTATCCTGTTTGAGTCTGCTACTTGAAAGATATACTTGCAAGTAGGGAGAGGTACCCCTCGAATCACAAAGCACATAAAGGTTCCACGTGAATGACCAAGGTCAAAACCGACAATTGGCATTTCTCATGTTACTGACTCCAAACACTAGAAGGCGTTAGTGTAAAACTTAACCCCAGTATAATTAATAATACAGTAGCGACAGCTATTTATATGGGGCCACCCTTGAGGTACACCCTTACTAACAAAAAGGAATCATATAAATCGGACAAGGTGGTAAAGCATTATCGCTAAACATACATAAAACATGAATAGTTTGAGGATTTTCTCATGGACTCAATTATTAGATTTTGACCAAATTTATATGGGACCATCCCCGAAGTACCCCTTTTCTAACAAAAAAAAATCATTGAAATCGGACACCGTGTTAAAGAATTATCGCTGAACATAAATAAAAATTAAAATATTGCGACGAATTGGGAACCTCCGTCTTTTTTGATGTCAGTTAAAAAGTAGTAAATAAGGTTTCAGAAAGTGACTGGAATGGTGCTCGTGTACGAGAAAAGCAAGATTCAATGATATGCAGTCATATAAATTGTTCATCCAGATATGAATCAAATAGATAGATACATGTTATTTTACTAATAGATGTTTTCATTGGAAGTCATATTGCCGTTGCAAGGTGATTGCAAGATCTTTCGCCATCTATGGTAGAATATGTATTAGTGAAGATAATAAATATCCCAGAATCCTGTCGAAAGATTTCTAATTTTCTTTCAAATATTCAGTTCAAAATCGTTACAATGTCACGTTATATTTATACATTTATTTACTATTTATATATTTATTTTTTATTTATGTTACAGTTCTAGACGACTTGAGCGCGTATGAACATACAGGTATGACTACATTTTTTGATCTATTGGAATGATAAGGAAATCAAAGAAAAAGGTAAAATTGGTTCAGTTGAGGAGAAAATAATTTAATATCTACAAAATTTCTGATAATAGCATTTGTTTCCAATTCGCGAACAAGTATTACAAAATTAAGAAAATAATATTTAAAAAAAAATCCATGTCGTCATGAACACGAAAGTAGTGATTTCGTTAGTACCAATTGTAGCGTAAGACGCGCACTTGAAAATAAAAATTTATTCAAAAATATCTAGGAATACTAATTTTCTAAGACGATTATTTTTTAAATAAATTAATAATTCTTTAACAAAATAATTATTTCTGGTAAATGGATTCTCAAAAGTTACTAATAATACATTTTCTAATGAAACGGTTTAAAGTTTATATCGAAGCAAAAACGAAAAGCGACACGGCATCGTTTTAATTTTTGGTGGGCTGTTGAAGAGGAAGAATACAGAATTAGTGTTGTTTAACTTTCATAGCCACATCGGATTTAATAAGAAACAAAACGGCATAATAGCTATTTATAAAACCCGTTACGAAATGCCTTATTTTATGTAACGAGTGAAGAGTAGAGTGTTTTGGTACGACATTACTGACATCTAGGCAACCAATATTACTACTTGTATGTTTAGTTGCATATGCATTATTTTACTAACAAATAAAACATAATAATAATATTAATAATAATAATAACTATTTATTCTCAACGACTTGTTCGTATTTATATAGCTTATTAAAGTTATTTATTTTTCAAAAAAGTGGGTTATTTTGTCGTGTAATGTGTTTTAATTATTTTGTGCTAATTTAGAATGGAAAATAATTAACAAAACAACATTATTACAAGGTTGTAAGTTTAATAATGTATATTATTGATTTTAAAAACAAAAAAAAGTTTTATTTTTATTTGCTTCCTTTTCGCAACTGATGACATAATGAATTTTTCTAAACAAGTTTCATAATGCATAATGCAACTGGTTGAACTGGTTGTATAAAGTAGATCATTTTGACATTTCTTGCGCTTACAAAAAATGTCAAAATTAAAAAAAAAAAACACGTTGTTATGTTACTAGTTCAAATATATAAACGAAATAATAATGTTCTACATTGGGTAATTAATTATTTGAATATTTTAATTTTCTTGATGAAAAAATATAGCGTTATTCAACTATTTTGCTGTCTAGTTGATTAAATAACATTATTATTGTTTCCCTTCAAAAATATAAAGATAAATAAATTATTTATTTTACAGCCCACCAACCTATGCCGAATGAATTCCAAGATGAAGGTACATAAGATTCTATTATTAATTATGAATATGTTATAGATTGAACAGATTCTTCAACAATACCCGTATCCCACATGACTAAATTAATCAGTTGGATAAAAGAAACAATAATAATTTCAGTAGTAACCCCATGTTACTAACCTATTTAACAGAACTGATACTCAAGTTGAATATCAGTGACAGTGGTTTTTTATCACAGAAAATATGCTTTAAATGCTATATTCAGTAATTGTTTTTAAAAATAGGTTCTGAGTACAGAAAATACTATTGAAAAGTTTGGAATTTGTTTTACTTTTAGTGCCAAATACTTAAATAAGTTATATTTAACAATTATTTAAAAGGACTTTTCAACCTAAATCTGATTAAAACTCGGGATTAAGGGGGTCTTTTTAACTCTGAAGAGCTTTAGCATGATACAGAGTTGCACAAAAGTCCGGAATATAATTATTATCTGTTAAAAAAAAACGCTGATACACGTGAATTGATTTTACGTTGGACGTATTTGTTGCCAATAATATGAAATGTATTTATTCAACCTCTCAGCTGCAACCCTACCCAACTTTATTTTTCAAATGCAAAAGTGTGTCATGTGTAGGATCATTGTGAAAACTGGAATCTCACCATACCCTTTCTTCTACTTTTACTTATGCGACATAACTTTGCATTTGAACAAAAAAATTGGATAGGGTTGCAGCTAAGGGGTTGAAGAAAAACATTTCGTTTTATTGGTAACAAATACGTCCATTGTAAAATCAATTCACGTGTTTCTGCGGTTTTTTTTAAGTTACTGGTTGAACAGATAATAATTTTATTCCAGCCTTTCGCGCAACTCTGTATGTATTCATTCTAGTTTCGCTATGTAACGAGTAATTACTAATTTTAATAAATGTTAAGTTGCATTTGTATGTTAAGTTGAATTTGTTGGTGTATTACAATAAGGTATGCCGTCATTTACAAAATACAATATGTTAACCTTTTAAAACTTGACTCCAGGAGAACAATATAGAAACTCATTGCTATTGAATAGAGAGAAATAGAAAAATACGTCGCCGAGTGCGGACTTCTATATTCCATGCTTGCCGTGGTTAAATCAATTAGGTCTTTTTAACGCTCTCCCGTCCAAATACAATTAAGCGTCTCAACTTTATTTTGCCTAATGTGTCAGTTAACATTGTGAAAAAATGCTTACTTAAAAGTAAAAAAAAAATTATTTATAGTACTATTTTATTTAACTTATTAATCCCAGCAAAAATATTGTGCAAAACGTTTAAATCATTTATTTCCATTTATTGTGCCTTAAACCGGACCTGTAGGTATAGCAGCAGCTGGCAGTGTTATCGCTAAATATTTAATACTGACATAAGTTTTATTTATGAAGACTAGAGATGAGGAGGCGAATCGGTATACTCGAAATACGGTCCCAAAAAATGAACGCTAATCGGACTTTTTTAATTCACCGCAAGGGTACGCTGGCGCTGGTGCTAGTACCGCTATTCAAAATACAAGGCTTCTTATGGGAATTTTACATAATTTTGTCAAAATAATAAAAATAAACTTGGTCATTGCGAAATAAAGCACAGAATATACTATTGTATTTATTTCTAAATAAGTCTCTCATGTTTTAATTGATAAATTATTTAATTTTATCTATATAAAATGCAAATTAGATAGGTATGACCAAATTCGAAAAGATTTGTTAAATGGTGAAATTTGGTAAGTACAATTTTGTGTCTAAATTTTTTTGACTTATGCCTAAATATAGTTTTTAAGGCAAAATAAAACACAGTTAACAGATTTTTTGATTGTTATAATATAAGCATAAAGGCAGATTTGAGAATGTACATTATATTGCCTGATCCTTTAATTTTGGCTTCGCCATTTTATTTTGCTAACAGTATTATCAGTAAAAAGAGTCTCATAATATTTGGAAATATCTTCTAAACATTGCAGAATAGCATCATCTCTAGAAAGTGCTTTATCGACCCTAGGAACGATATATATGCTGCTATTGTTCTATGTGTTTAGGATCCTATAAAAAACATTTACAATGACAAAATTGGGGTTCAACAAAAAAATAACAGCAACTCTTTATCCAACATTAAAAATCTATAAAAAAACAAATTTTCTTTTCTAGTAAGTAAAATTTAATGTATAATTATTGTTGTTTGTAAGTCAGGATCTATGACTGTAAAATTTTGTTTTATAATAACTTGTAATAAAATAAACTACACTCCGTGATATGTATTATGACTAATTTACAATAAATATTATATTTAGACATAAATGCATTAGAAGCTTTTAAAAGACATTGAATTCTATTGATTTCTACTTGTGTTTTCTTTAGTTTCATATCTGATTTGTATCCTGTTTTACAATCTGGACCGAAGTTAATCTTGCTTTGACGGTGTTTGTCACTCATGTCATTTGTAGGCGGGTACTTTTTTTCACATTATTTGATTCTTTTCACCAATTAAAAAAAAACACTTCATTTTACCAAAGTATATTAACCATTGAGTAGCGACATAAAGCGTCGGTACCTTTGATCTTGGGTGGTGCAAATTTTCTTTCTCTTTTTTGACGTTATTGACGGAAGGACACAGTAAAACACTGCTCGAATTATGAACTGTTCTTGAATGTGATGTTTACACTGTTCGGCGTAATTTGAAGTAAAACTCTTTTGTAGTTTACATTTATAATAAAGGTTTGGTCATTAGGCAGTTTTATATTTATGAGTATTTAACTTATGTAGTAAATATAAAGATATATATATATATATATATATATAACTACTATTGATAAATTTCAATTTTTTTACCTACGTCCGGATGAGCTAGATACTTGAAAGTTGGTAGGTGCACAAGGTTTTGATTTTTGATAACAATAGAAATTATTACTTATAGACCTTCTTATTTATTAATCGAGTTGTCTCAAACTTTAAATTTCGCTTTGTTTAAACATGTCGCTGATTACAATTTTTGACTAATAATGCGCCCCGTTACTCAAAACTTTTAATTCACGTTTAAAGTGTTTGACAGAGGTATCTGATTTGACAAGTTATTCATACAACAATATGAAAGTCAGTGTCAAATCTGATGACAGGTATAAAACGAACCCTTTTCTAAACAAGAAACCCTCGAAAAAACCCATTTATAATAATTGTTATACCTGGTACATATGCTGTATATCCTGTAGATTTTATAGGAAATATACGAAATAGGCCTTATCACATCAAATTTTCACAAATAAGTTCCAATAAAAATAAGATTATTATTTGATAAATATTAAATATATTGTTTAGTTCAAGGTACTTACACCTCATATTCTTCTGGAAATGAAAACAGTGATTTGTTAACCAGACCTTGTCGAGCAAGGTCGATAAGCACATGCATTTCCTGGCATAATGAAAAACCCACAAAACCCCAAAAAATCTTAACAAAAACACAATAAAAGATCACTAATAAATCCACAACAACGAATTCCTATATCAGCTGTCGGACTAAAGTGAAAGGGTTTGTTTACATCTTTAGATGACGTCTCGCCTCTCTATTTCGCATCAGCGCACTAGAATTCGGTTCCTAAGCTGTCGCTACTCAACGGTTAATATACTTTGATTTTACATTGACTTACATATAGAAAATTGACAGCTTTACTGTTCGACATGCCAACTACAGTCAATTTTGCGAACTTTATAAGAAGAAGGACGGATATTTGAAATTTGACCATTGCCGATTCGTCTCCTTCTTTCTAGTCTTCATAGTTTTATTAAACTCAACGTGTTACGTATTTGCTGACATTATAAGTTAGAAATTTAAAGTGACATTCGAAAAAAAAATAACAATAAGGAATTTGTTAACATAAAAAAAATTTAAACAAATGGTTCGATCTTCGATAGCCTTTAAGATATTAATAAAAATCACTAAATATGGACAATTTTCTGTTTTACCAAATCACATGAGATACGGCAACTGTTGATGACTTTACTAAATATAATAACGTGTACGCTCTTATTCTTACAATTTAATATTAAATTCGGTTTTATTAAAACTTTTTTGAGGGTATATCAGCGATAAAAAATTCAAATTATCCATTTTATTTTACAGAACCAGATCCGTTCGATCCATCATCTATAGGTACTAAAGATTTTTTTGACCGTTTTAGTTTTATAAATTTGATATTCTTTTATACAGGATATTCTGGAATATATATTTAGTAAATAAAACCACTGAAAATTGTGTAATAACAAATTTAGATTACTTACAACAGTTCTTTACATACTTGTTAAAAAACAACCCCACATACATTTTTAGAATGATTTTTTAATTCATTTATTTTTTTTTACGAAAGAAAACATCGTCATATAATAGTAATATTTTGATTGAAACGGCAGTTTTTTACACATATGCGCTTAAAAGTAACATATTTAAACAATTATTTAAACGAAACAAAAAAAGCCGACACTACTGCGATATTAAGGAATTATACAAAAAGATAACTCTATCTATTTTTTTGATTAATGATATTATTTATAGTTAAAAACTTAGTTTAATTTTTATTTACTTTATTCTGGAACAACCTGTATACAGGGTGAATCTTCAGGTGATACTTTTTTAACTGTGTATAGAAGTCGTTAAAATAAATGTTATTTTTAAATAACTTTTTCAAGAAACTCAAAAATAAAGATACCGAATTAAAAATCTAAATTCATGCCTGGACTTGTGTATGAAAAGTTATGTTCATGTTTTTGAAACAGTCATTTACAAAAGTTGTTTATTTTAATGACTTCTGTATGTAAATAGTTAGAAGAAGTATCAACTCGAGATTCACACTATATACTTAGTAAATCTTTTATTTTATAGCTCAAGATTATTACCACGAACATCAAACTCCAGGTATGTTACAATTTTATCTAATCGCTCATTATTTTATTAAATATACCTATCCACCATTTCTATTTTATTCAAATATATCATCCATTTAAAAGGATATTAAACAGGGTATTAGTACATATCATGTCAATATTGAGGCAGGAAGAAGGTAAATCGTTTGCCTATTTTATGACTAAATTTCTTATAAACATATGTTCTAAATTACTTTTTTAATATACAAAAATAGATCATGAACAAACATATCATTATTAGGCAAAAAAAGCGTATTAAAAAATTATCTTCTAACATTATTTAACATTTCTAGGATTATTGCGGCACACGAGGATTATCAAGAATTTAATTTTTGTAAAAACAAAAAACATTAAAACTGTTTGCGTGGACGTAAATATAATCAAAATATCATTCAAATGAGGTATTACATGACTTTACATTCCATTAGAAAATTTAAAGATAGTAACGCAGAGTATTTTACGTCTTAAGTAAAGTGCATCTCATTATAACAAAAATATCATAAAGTTTCTCTAATTTAACATCGTTTTTGTTTGATGTCTCTATCTTCTTTACATTTTGAAAACATACTACAAAATTCTTTCATTTGACATCGCAGGATTGCATTAGAAAAATTCTAACTTCCAATTTAATCTCTTCCCCCCTCCCCAACTGACTTACAAGACAAAGTATTTTAGTTAACGCTTAATCAGGGCCACTTTTTACTTCAAATTTCAGTTGTAAAACGAGTGTGACAGACGGACAGACAGAGAGACATCATAAGTGTTTCTTATTGCCAAATTTGGGTACTAATGCGCAAAATACTTGAAAAATTCTTTGTTTTTTTCTTAAAAATTTTACCGTTTTTTTATGTTTGGGCTTTTTCAAATTTAAATTTGATATTGTTTTATCACGAGAGAAACGAGACGAGACGAGACAAGACGAGAGAAAGGCTCTCTCAAGCGAGAGAAGCGCCTTCTCGTCGAGACGAGAGAACAGTTTTCTCTCGCCCTACGAGACGAGACGAGAGAGGCCACTCTGTCGTCTCATCTTGTCTCGCGGCATCACTACTTAAAAGTCTTACTTTGATTTTATTTTTATACATATTTATAAATTGTAGGTTTACATCCACAATTTTTGTAGATAAGCACTGATGATAACAACATGCCGAAAGCGCTTTGCATTTAATAATAAAAAAAAATTTTTGCACGAAATACAAATCTTTCCTTTTTAATCTAAACTACGCGCACACAGCCGTCAACCTTTTTTGGTTATTTTAATCAATACATATTTACTGTGTAAAAAATTAATGAAAACACATAATAATTATATTTCTATTCTAATTAATTATGCCAACCAACTGTTAGTACTTGCAAAAACACTTTAATTAAGATGAAAGTTAATCACGTGTATAATTAATAACATAATTATTTAATGTTTTGAGAATCAACATAACATTTTTAATCATATTACTGCGTCTACCGAAGTATTATTTAACATTTAAAAAATATTGTGTAATACCAGATAATACATTAATATTCATTTTTTTAGGGAAAAAATGCAATAAAAAATAATATACCTGTCGACCCTGTAGTAATATCATCAATCGATCGAAAACCTTTGTCACTTCGACTACATATTTTCACCCATAATGCACATTTTGAATATGTTTTAATATGTATTTTGCCCGATGATTTGATACTTTTTTACGATATTGCAGACTTTGGAAAATTTATAAAATAATATGTCACTTCTACATAATATGCCTTCTCCATAACAACACCGGTTCGTTTTTCCTTTTCATACAGATAACATAATAATTATAATTAATTGTAAAAATTTGTTTTTCCTTTAAGACACTTATTACTTTATTTTTGTTTTCCTTTTTTTAAATAAATATACTTAAATTGATAATTATTGATTATAATTTTTTTCACGTGGGCACTTTAATATGCTTGTTTACAAAAAACAGTATGAAAAAGATGGCCGGCACTGACGCATGCGCACAAATTTTTTTTATGAAAAAGCCTATTAGTAACAAAATAACAAATATTATTCTGCAAGTATTCACCTGTCAAAATTAACGCAGATTTTTAAATATGTAACGAAATTGTAGGGAAAGCAAAAAAGCGACTGAAAATGGGTTGCCAATAAAGTCTAGGAGATATCTACCGCAACCCATATTATCAATGGCAGATGCAGCTGTACTGAGCTTCTAACAAAAATAAATCTTTATGTTCCAAACCGGCTAAACTCGACAGCAACAAACATTTTATGTACCTTTTTATCGTTTAAACCAAACTATTCCAAGAATGTTAAGATTTACCAACACTTATAACGATCTTGGGATATTTAACACCCCCTTCCATAAATTTATAAAGCAATTACTTAGTACTGAGCTCTAATCTTTGATCTTTAATTTTTAATGTTCAATGTGAATATTTTATTCAACATTGTTGTCTTTTCTCATTTTTAAATCTTTTAAATTCTTTACCTATTTTAGTCTATATGTAATGAATTATACCACGTTTGTATTTCAGCACCATATATATTTCACTAAATTTTATTTATAATTTAAAATTGTAATAATTTATTTCTCAAATAGACTTGCCCGTAAATAAATGAATAAATAGCTGACAGAACCCGCATTTGAAAATAAAAATCAACGGGTTTTGGATTGTTTCAAGAAGCCAACGAGTTACGAAATAAATATTTTTCTTTCATTTGACCATATTATACTACTACTATTTATGTTACAGATCCTCATCACGAACATCCACATACAGGTAAGTAAGATATTTTCTATTAAAAAAAAAATTCTGAAATTAGCATTTAACAATATTTTTATATCTGATTTATAATATTTCCCGTAAATATTGCCCGTAAATAAATGAATAAATATGAACCATTTATAAATTAGTTGAAAGAAAACTGTGAAAAGTACAATAAAACTGTATTGCTTGGATACTTTTCCGATCTCGCTGAATCATTTCCGCGAATTCCATATGGTCAAAATATTTGTTATTTTTCTTTATGCCCTTGCGAACCATAAAGTGAACTTTATGCCCGCATGGGTATAAATTATAACGTTAGGTAATTGTTAACTAGGCAATAAGAACACAATAATGAACTAGTATAACATAATAGCTATTAATTTACCAAGGGTATAAATAGATGTTTATGCCCTGAGGGCGACGTTTTACAAACCCAAGGACCTCTGAAAAATTAATTTAATTACGAGTATTAAAACTAAAATTGTAAACGTGGCGTGGATGTGAGGACAGAGCTTCTGCCTTCTACGCGTAATGTACGGATTTGAATCTTGGCTGGGGACTAATTAAATTAATCTTTTTTTTTCGTGTTCATTTTATTTAATAAATTAGTAAAATTCATAAATTATAAATTATAAATTATTTTAAAATTATGTATTTTTCCTGAATAATCTAAAATAATTTTTTAAATTTGTAGATTTTTGATAGTGGGTCGTAGAAAAAATATATTGTGAAACTCGAGTGCACAAACTACTATTGTGCAACAAGAGTGAATCAGCTGATAGCCATGTGGGTGTAAAAAAAACTTTTTTAATATACATGAATTGTTAGTTTTTGTAAAAAATTTCTTACTTCCAATTTCCAACATGAATAATACGACTAACGCGAGAGTTAAAAACATTGTCTGCACATGGTGTTGTTTAACTCGTAAGTTTATTGAACATAGTGTTATATTTATTTTGGTCAGCTTTTATTGTGCCATCACTAATACATGGTACAAATCCCTGGAAAGGTTTCGATGAGGTGATTTTAAAATTATAACCTTTATAAAACTGCACTATGTCGTCATAGTTCAGCTTCGAGGTACTGAAATATAACTTGTGTTGCAGATCACGATATTCACAATCAACATTCATCTCCAGGTAAGATTGATTTTTATGCAATTTTTTTGAAACTAATAAATTTATTATTTTAGTTTTATTGTGTCTTGAATATGATATATTCATATTTTATTAATATGGACTAAGACGAATAAATACACATACAGTAATAAGTAATAACCCTTATATATTTCAGACGACCTGTCAGATTAAACGATGTGCCACACCATTCAATTTTTTTTAGAAATACATCATAATTTCGCAAAATTCAATTCTAAGTATTTCGCCATTTTTTTGGCATGGAGATATGTGACATTCAGCCAATCACAATTCGTCTATAAGAGAAGACCCTAACTAACTAAAGAAATAGAAATATAGAAGAAATACAAGGTTTTTGAAATAACACTCGCTTCTCTTCCAGGGGCCCATTAGGCATTTTTTTTTATAAAGCACAAATAAAACTAGTTCATGACAAAATCATCTTCGAAAAGCATCTGAACTAAAGGGATGTCTCTTTTACTTTTTTAGCGTTCTAAGAACTATTATTTCATGAACTATGGGTATTATCTTCAAACACTAGTAGATCATCTGTTCTATGTTATTTGTTTTTTACTACTTTTATGGGGATCTCTTACATGGCTCGTTTCTCTAAATTTCTTTTTAAATTCGCTTACGGTGGATTGCGAAATCGTTTTTCAATTGGGATATTTATTTTTAAATAAAGCACAAACATCTATATGTGTCCTTGTTTTGACTCCAAAACCAATCTTTTTAAAAATTTTAATATTTTCATTTCAGTAAACTTGATTTCAATTAAAATATTTCTTGAATGCAATGTATTTGATTATTATTACCTTTTATATTTGAATGAGAAATATCTGACAGAACCCGCATTTGAAAATAAAAATCATTGGGTTTTAGGATTGTTTCAAGAAGCCAACGAGTTACGAAATAAATATTTTTTTTTTCATTTGACCATACTGTACTACTACTATTTATGTTACAGATTCTCATTACGAACATCCACATACAACAGGTGAGTGAGCTATTTTCTATTTTTAAAAAAGAAATTTCTGAAATTAGCGTTTTACAATATTTTTTTATCTGATTTTTAATGTTCCTATTTACCAATACAGACTTGAGTTCTATCCCATTTAAGTGTGCTACTTGAAAGATATACTTGCAAGTAGGGAGAGGGATATTCGCGATTCAAATTAATTTTCGCGCGCCTGTCATTTGTCACCTATAAGTAGGATGTTTGTTTATTTACGTTTTTGTTTTGGACGGATTTTGTATTTGTGATTTTTCAACTGTTTTTAGATAATATTCTCATTGTAATAGTGTTTTTGAGTTTCATTTAGTGTTAATTAAAGTTTAGTTCTCGTGCTTTCGTCATAAATATAATATTTATCTTGTGTATGACTTAATTTGTTGGAAATATTCACCTATTGGTTGCTACAAGAACATCTAGAAATATGTATTTACTAAACCAAGGACATGTTTTATTATGTGGTTTAAAGGACATTTCAGGTCTAGACGTTTATTATTGATGAACTTATTTAAAAATCTTACTATCCTTATATTATGAAGTGAATGTGTAGTACTTTATATCTGGTAATTCGGTCGACCATGACATTTTCAACCGGCTAAGAGCCGAATTTAAATACTTAAGTTCCACTCTTCACAAACAATACATGGATACGCTAGAAGCTAGAAGATAACATTAAAACAAATCCACGCGCGTTTTAGTCTTATTACAACTCAAAAATATCTTCTTCGACCATTCCAGATACTATGATTTTTAACAAACAACATCTAGATAATTCCTCCGACATTGCTTCCTCTTCTGCTAGTTTCTTTTCAAACTCATTCTCTGATCACACATCTCCTGACAATACTGCCAATGTCCCACTAGGGCTCTCCCACAACTACTTATCTATTACTCAAGTATCCGAATGTGATATAATTCTAGCTGTCAGCTAAAAGCGAATATGACAATGGGACCCGACGGAATTCCTGCTTTTTTTATTAAGGACTGCATTTATGCACTATCGACTCCGTTATGTAAAATATTTCATATTATTATTCGCACAAGCACATTTCCTAATAAATAAAAGTTTCTAAAATTATTCCAATTCTTAAAAATGGAAATAGGGCATTAATCGAGAACTACCGACCCATAGCAGTCATATGTAATTTTAGTAAAATTTTTGAAATATGTATAAACCGGAAACTTTATGCTCATTTTGCAAATTACGTATTTCCTCAGCAACATGGTTTTGTCAGTGGTAGGTCGACAGTAACCAACCTAATCGAGGCGACACAATTTTTTAGTGAATGGACAGGTGGACGTTATTTACACCGATTTTTCTAAGGCCTTTGATCGTATTAACCATAAAATTTTACTTAGAAAACTGAATTCGGTGTCTATTTCGCATGACCTGCACGAAATATTTTCATCGTACTTATATGACAGGCTATATGTTAAAGTAAAATCCTCTAAAACCGATTATTTTCCACAATACTCTGGAGTTCCACAAGGTTCCATTTTTGGACCGCTATTTTTTATTATTTTTATTAATGACATAGGTCAGCATCTAGACACTAAATTTCTAATCTACGCGGATGATTGTAAGTTATTTAAAAATATAAATAATATAAATGAATACTTAGTATTACAAAATAACATTGAGCTGATTCAAAACTGGTGTAATTCTAACTGTCTAGAACTAAACGCGCAAAAATGTAACGCGATGACATTCACACGTAAAAAAATTGGAATCCACTACGACTACGTAATTGGTTCTAAGCGTTTAAACAGACCAAATTATATTAAGGACTTGGGAGTTACTTTTGACCCGAAGTTGAGTTTTGTTCCACACATTAACGACGTAGTTGATTCTTGGATTCATTCTCAGAAATATGAGTGATTTCAAAAGTATAGACACATGCAAAACGTTATTTAGTTCAGTCGTTATATCCAAATTGGAATACGCAAGCGCAGTGTGATCCCCAATATATGATGTTCATATTGCAAACCTAGAGAAGGTACAGAGATGATTCTTGAAAAGTCTCCATTTTAAAATTTACGATTATTACCCCCCTCGCGGATTTCCACAGGATCAGTTGCTTCAAAATTTTAATTGTGTAAATCTTCAAGATCGTCGAGTAATGCATTCTATATTATTTTTGTTTAAACTCATGAACTACAAAATTAATTGTGCCGAACTTTTGTCGCAAATACGTTTACGGGTTCCTCGTATTACCTCGAGAGATCACCAAACTTTTTCATTGCCCATACCGCGAACAAATATTTTATTACAATCACCACTTTATTAAATGCAAACCAATTTTAATGTTCACTCTCAAAACATTGATATTTTCAATTGTAGAGAATGTGATATAAAAATTTGTTTAGTTTTCGGTAATACTTAGTTTTATCTTGTACGAGTACGTCTTATTTTACTTCAATTTTTATATTTAGTGTGTCTAGTTCTAGTTTTACTTAGTTGTATTATTGTCTGAATTCGTTTTATTTTTGTAAATTTAATATTTACGTTTTCATGTATTTAATGTATGTATGTATGTATGTATGTATGTATGTATGACATTGTATTTTATTTTTATATTATTTTTGATTTGTATTCCACCTGTAATAGGTTTGTACCGTTGGTTGGATAATAAATAAATAATAATACTTACATGTAAATGGTAATAAAACCGTCACAAACCAGATTACAGTTTGATTCTAAACAAAGTTTTACAAAATTTCAATATTGTGAATTTGTAGATATCCATTTATCGTAAGAAACAAAATTTTACGACTTGCACTTGGAAAATAATGAATACTTCAGTTTTGATTTTGACATTAACACCATATAGATTGCAATTTGCTGGGGGCTTTACCGCCAGACTTCATTTTTAATATAATTACTATACTAATACTAATCACATACTATAAGAAATAAATTTAAAGCTAAAAAGTAAGAAAAAACTCGAATTGTAATTGATACAAATTAAAATGTAAACAATGAACAGGAACGCCAATGTTGCCAAATGATGAACTGATTTTAAAGCAAAATTAATAAATGAACTGAAATTTAAGAAAAATCAATAAAATAAATCAGTTTTATAAAAAAATCGTTAAATAAATATAGAGTATGATTACATATTACTAGACACAAATTTTGATTCTTAAATAAAAGAGCTAAAATATGACGACGTAGCGAAATTTTGCTACTTCTGGCAACACTGAATGATATCTTACTTATGCGGACCTTCTACAAATTTCCTCCAGAGGGCGTATCAGTTAGTTTGAATCCCGAATACCTGAAACCCCTGGAATCACAAAGCACATAAAGGTTCCACGTAAATGACCAAGGTCAAAACCGACAATTGGCATTTCTCATGTTACTGACTCCAAACCCTAGATGGCGTTAGTGTAAAACTTAACCCAAGTATAATTAATAATACAGTGGCAAGTGGTGCTTCTTTATTGTAGGAGTATCCCGATTTTTTCCTGCTTATTTATACACTGAGAAAAGTAACTTGAAAATATCTTGCTCCTTTGTCTGTTTGAATAAAATATCACACAATAAATGAAAGATAAAAAATAAGTCTAAATATAATTAAAATATATTAAAATGTGCATTACAACCAATCAGACAATTAAAATAATCAACCACCATTAATCCATTGACAAATTACATATGCCAGTTTGATGTATTTGCCGCTTATTTACGAATATGCGGAGCAAAATATGGAACTCAAAAACAATGAACTGTCGCTACTGTATTATTATTTATACTGGGACTTAACCAACATTTGATGTTAATTTATATTTTTGACTGTTCACTAGATCTCACATACTTTGATTAAAGTATGTGCTAGATCTAGATGTATGAAGGCCAATTTTATATGGCTGTTTTCTCAAAAACAAAATGTAGTAAATAAGGTTTCAGAAAGTGACTAGAATAGTGCTCGTGTATGAGAAAAGCAAGATCCAATGATATGTAGTCATATAGATTGTTCATCCATTTATGAATTAAAGAGATAGATACATTTTATTTTAATAATAGATGTTTTCATTGGAAGACATATTGCCGTTGCAAGGTGATTGCAAGATCTTTCACCATCTATGGTAGAATATGTATTAGTGAAAATAATAAATATCCTAGAATCCTCTCGAAATAATTCCAATTCTCTTTCAAATATTCAGTTTAAAATCGTTACAACGTCACGTTATTACATTTATTTACTATTTTTATATTTATTTACTTTTTATTTATGTTACAGTTCTAGACGACTTCAGCGAGTATGAACATACAGGTATGACTACATTTTTTGATCTTACAATTTATTGGAATAATAAGGAAATCAAACAATAAAGTTAAATTTTAACATATTATGCTTCCGATAAGGAGAAAATAATATAGTATATACAAAATTTCTGATAATAGCATTTGTTTCCAATTCACGAACCATGGATTATAAGTATTACAAAATTAAGAGAATAATATTTAAAAAAAATCGATGACGTCATGAACACGAAAGTAGTGGCTTCGTTAATACCAATTGTAGCGTAAGACGCGCAGTTCTAAATAAAAATTTATGCAAAACTATGTAAGAATGCTTAATTTTCTAAGACAATTATTTTTTAAAAGCGACATGGCAACGTTTTAATTTTTGGTGTGCTGTTGAAGAAGAAGAAGAAGAAGAAGAATACAGAGTTAGCGTTGTTTAACTTTCATGGCCACATCGGATTTAATAAGAAATAAAACGGCATAATAGCTATTTATGAAACCCGTTACGAAATGCCTTATTTTATGTAACGAGTGACGAGTAGAGCGAGGTCCCCCAACATGAACGAGTTACATAAACGGTATTTGGTAACGTGTTACATGCAATATTTTTTGTATTATTAGTTGCATATGCATTATTTTACTGACAAATAGAACATAATAATAATAATAATAATAATAATAATAATAATAATAATATTAATAATAATAATAATAATAATAATAATAATAATAATAATAATAATATTAATAATAATAATAATAATAATAATAATAATAATAATAATAATAATAATAATAATAATAATAATAATAATAATAATAATAATAATAATAATAATAATAATAATAATAATAATAATAATAATAATAATAATAATAATAATAATAATAATAATAATAATAATAATAATAATAATAATAATAATAATAATAATAATAATAATAATAATAATAATAATAATAATAATAATAATAATAATAATAATAATAATAATAATAATAATAATAATAATAATAATAATAATAATAATAATAATAATAATAATAATAATAATAATAATAATAATAATAATAATAATAATAATAATAATAATAATAATAATAATAATAATAATAATAATAATAATAATAATAATAATAATAATAATAATAATAATAATAATAATAATAATAATAATAATAATAATAATAATAATAATAATAATAATAATAATAATAATAATAATAATAATAATAATAATAATAATAATAATAATAATAATAATAATAATAATAATAATAATAATAATAATAATAATAATAATAATAATAATAATAATAATAATAATAATAATAATAATAATAATAATAATAATAATAATAATAATAATAATAATAATAATAATAATAATAATAATAATAATAATAATAATAATAATAATAATAATAATAATAATAATAATAATAATAATAATAATAATAATAATAATAATAATAATAATAATAATAATAATAATAATAATAATAATAATAATAATAATAATAATAATAATAATAATAATAATAATAATAATAATAATAATAATAATAGATAGATAGATAGTTTATTGACATATTTACATATTACAATATATTTTATGTCATTTTACAAAGTATAAACACTAAACTAACCAAAATATAACTAAAGATAAAACAGTAAAGTGTCGTAAATTAATAAATATAAAATATTTTAGGTTTACAGACAAAAACAAACATGAAAAAAATAATGTAAAGTGGATAAAATGTTAAAATTGTTAAAACTGATAAAATCATCTCGTAAAATTTTTGTATTCGTCTATGCTATAAAAACATTCTGTCAATAAAAACTCCTTAACTAAATTACTAAATCGTTTTAAATTTAGAGCACCTATATTAATATTCCTATGACAGTTTACAAATTGATTATAAAGGACCAAATCCAATTTATTATTATGCGTCAGGCAAATTCTTGATTTAAAAGGAACTAGACTCTCCGCATTCCTTGTATTGTAGCTGTGATGATTATTATGCGAATCCAATGAATTACGTTTTTTATATATTTCTTTTAATGATTCCAATATATACAGACAAGGCAATGGAAGAATCCTGTACCTTTTAAATAGCTGCTTACATGGCAGGTCGAGTTCTGCACCGTCAATAATCCTCAAGGCAGCTTTTTGGAGAACAAAAGCCTTCTGAGAGTGATAACTGCCGCCCCAGAACACGACACCATAAGTCAGATGGCTATGTATAATTGCATAATAAACAGTTTTTAGCACTGATTTTCCTGAAAAACTCGCTATTTGCCTGAGTGCAAAAATTTGGGACGCCAATTTTGAACAGACATTGTCTACATGGCGCGACCAATTCAAACCGGCATCGAGCATTACTCCTAGCAGGTTTACTGACCCGGCTAGTTTGACTTTACTGGAAGAAAAAGTAACGTTTTGAGTTTTTATATTATTTAGCTTTAAATCGTTTGCCGCAAACCATTTATTAGAGGACTCTAAACAAGTTCTGCTCGAGATCGTGTCATCTTTGGATAGGAGAGTGGTATCATCTGCAAACATGATACTAGTACAGTGTTTCATGTTCCGCGGCAAGTCATTAATATATATTAAAAATAGAACAGGGCCCAATACAGAACCCTGTGGAACTCCTCTTAAAATGGGAGCCAATTGTGACTCCACATTATCATGAAACACGCACTGTAATCTGTTTGTCAGATAGGATGAAAATAAGGCAATTATGCCATAGTACTCCATTTTTTCTAAAATAATATTAATGCTCACACAGTCGAAGGCCTTAGTGAGGTCACATAATACCGCAGTAGTATTCGAGCCCTCGTCAAAGCCACCGACTATGTAATCAATTACTTCAGCGACTGCTCTTATTGTAGATCTATGCCTTCTAAACCCAAATTGGGCTGGCGAGAATAAATTTTTATTTTCGAAATAGTTAATTAATTTCTCTTTTAGAGTAACTTCAAATATCTTACCGATAACAGGTGTAATGGCAATTGGCCTATAATTATCAGCATCGTTAGAATCACCTTTTTTAAAAAGTGGCAATACCTTACTAATTCTAAGTTGGTCAGGCCAACTTCCTTCGATTATGCACTGGTTATATAAAATATTCAGTGGTTTAATGAGGGATTGTATAGAGGCCTTGATCATGGGACTACTGAGGCCATAGTAATCCGTGCATGGCGTATTTTTAATATGAAGTATAGCCTCCCTTACGTCAGATTCAGTGACTGGACCCATAAAGAATGAATATGGGGGCTTCGGTGTCATTTTAATATAATCATTAGAGGTAACATTATTATCGTTTTCGATTGTTTGAATTACCTTCTCTGCTACATTGACAAAAAAAGAATTGAAGTCTTCAGCTGTTATATTCGATGTACTAGATGATTTGTTGTTGGATTTTCTTTCTGAGTTTACAATATTCCAAATTGTTTTATTTTTATTATCTGATGCAGCTATTCTTTTATTATAAGCGTTACGCTTCTCTAATCTAATTGACCTCCTATAGTTTTTGCGCGATTCAGAATATAGTCTCCAATCTTCGAACGAATTGGTTTTTTTAAATCTAGATTTGTTTTGAAATACTTGATTTCGCTGTACCCGCAGTTCCTCATTAAACCACAAAATCTTTTTGTCACCACTGCGAAATTTTTTTATGGGAAAGCATAGATCTACAAAAGGACATAGAGTAGAAAATATTTTATTACAAATCTCCTGGGAGCAGTAATTTCCCATTTCTAGATCATGCCAACTAATTTCAGATAACTTTTCTGAGAACTGTAAAATTGTACGTTCATTAATAAATCTTTTGTTGACATAACTGGTATTGTTTAAAATATTAAAGTCTTTTATCTCCAAAGATAAAGACAAATGATCGGCTATGTCTGCATCAATGACTTTTGATATCACAACTTCCGGATTTATATTGGTAATAATATTGTCCAAACATGATTTAGAAGTGGGAGTTATTCTAGTTGGTACCGTGATGTAATGTTTCATACCATACATATTTAATATATTATTCAAATCAAGCGAATGCTCATTAAAACTATTAAAATCAACATTAAAATCACCGATAAAAATTAAGTTTTTAAATTTTTTATATAAATAACTAATCAAATTTAGCAAATACGTTTTAAATATTGATATATCCCCATGGGAAGAGGATCTGTACACTGTAATTAATACACAATTTTTATTTATCAATTCTACACCACAGAATTCTGCATGAAAAGGCTGGCAAAATTTTGCAACGTCAATAACTTTTAATGAAATATTATTTTTAGAAAAAATTGCCACTCCTCCATGACCAAATGAGTTTCTACAATACTCTGTAACTAAATCGTAATTTTTTAAATTAATTAATTTTATGTTATCACTAGATAGCCAATGTTCAGAGAAACATAATATATCAAAATTATTTTCAGAATTAAATATATCTAGACAATCTATTTTATTTAGTAAGCTCCGAACATTGGTGTGTACTATTGATAAACTTTTAGTTGTTTTTTTCTTCTGTTGGGTAATCCCTAGGTTCTGTTGTTCTTCCTTCTGAACGAAAAAACTCGTTTAAATAAACCCCTTTTGGCCAAACTTCTGGACGTAGGAATGTTGACGCTGACACTTTCGGAACACTCACTTTAAATGAGGCGTATTTTGCAGGAAATCTAGAGTTTAACTGTTTGACTTCAATTTTTGAATCAATTTTTTTAAGGTGGCTCTTTACCTCATCTATAGTTGTGTCTGGATTCCAGTTTGTTGAGTGGAAAAAGGTCATAACTTCATAAGTAGCTGCCTTCAAAGTATGGTCATCGCTTGTACCAACAAGTAAATTTCTGGGTTTGGTTCTCTTTATAGTGTTATTTCTGTTAAACGAATTCGTTGTCGATGTACGCTGATTAAGATTAATAATGTCGTTACATAAAGATGTGGCTTCAGCATTATATACAGCAGTTTGGATTGCTGCAGATGTTAACTTGCTGTTACCATCACTATTCTCGCTGCTATTATTTTTGGTAGGTGCTCTATCTCTTCGTTGAGTAGTATTCCAGACTTCTGCATTACCAATAGATAGTGGTTGACATGTGTTCTTACTATCACTTGAGCTCATCGCGTTAAATTTCTTTAGAAGAATAATTTGTTCATTTAAGGCAGTAATAGCAACTTCTTGATTTTTTATAGTGATGTCTTTTTGTTTCATTAATTCTTCGAGATATTTAATTGTGATTTTATCAACCGAATTATCACGACTTTCAATAATTTCCTGGACTTTTGATTGAACCTTAGGAACTTCTGATAAATTATTACTGTTATCAGGGTCTGAGCAACATATAACTGACCCATCACTCAAAAATGTAACAGTTTTTAATGATTTCAAACAGCTATTGTGGGATAATGTACCACATTTTATACATTTTATGCCTGTAGTAACAGTTTTTTTACACCGCACACAGGTTACAGATGGTGCATTACCATTTTCAGACATTTTCCAGGTATAAACACTAATTTATATATCAAATTTGCAATATTATACAAATGTTTAATTAAAAGTTCAAATAAAATTAACACGAAATTTAAACCGCGGTGGAATGAACCAAGGATTTCTGTGTAAGTAAGCAAAACAAAAGTTTTTATACTAAGCACTCTGAGCAGTTCTTAACAAAGAAGATAACTTAATACTGTTAATTTATGATAAAAAGTGTTGCAAACACTTACGTGAATTCACTATGCACTTAACTATAGGGTAGTACGTTTACAAACATTTATTTAATAATAATAATAATAATAATAATAATAATAATAATAATAATAATAATAATAATAATAATAATAATAATAATAATAATAATAATAATAATAATAATAATAATAATAATAATAATAATAATAATAATAATAATAATAATAATAATAATAATAATAATAATAATAATAATAATAATAATAATAATAATAATAATAATAATAATAATAATAATAATAATAATAATAATAATAATAATAATAATAATAATAATAATAATAATAATAATAATAATAATAATAATAATAATAATAATAATAATAATAATAATAATAATAATAATAATAATAATAATAATAATAATAATAATAATAATAATAATAATAATAATAATAATAATAATAATAATAATAATAATAATAATAATAATAATAATAATAATAATAATAATAATAATAATAATAATAATAATAATAATAATAATAATAATAATAATAATAATAATAATAATAATAATAATAATAATAATAATAATAATAATAATAATAATAATAATAATAATAATAATAATAATAATAATAATAATAATAATAATAATAATAATAATAATAATAATAATAATAATAATAATAATAATAATAATAATAATAATAATAATAATAATAATAATAATAATAATAATAATAATAATAATAATAATAATAATAATAATAATAATAATAATAATAATAATAATAATAATAATAATAATCTAGTCCCGGAGGCTAGGCTGGCTCAAATTAGGCAAGATGTAGCAAGAGAGATTCCTCTTCATCAAATAGAAATTGCGATCCCGCAAATAGAACAAGAGGTAAACCAAGAAGACCCAGGACCTCACCATCTAGACCCAGGTGCAGGATATCCTGATCAGGATCCAGAACCACCTTTGAACGTAGTTCCTGAAATAGTACAAGATAATCATGCACACCAAAAGCTTCTGTTTGAGTTCAGAAGTGCTATAACTGAGTTTGAAGGTACCGACCCCCTGCTAAGACCATCCATCCCGAAGCAGAATTCATCTAAGAAACTTGCAGTTGCAGTGACACTGATGAATACCACAATACTACCAAGTTACTTAGAGCAGAATATATCGACCTTTGAAGACCTCCAGACCATAATTTATAGCGCAGCTACTGCAGTCGTTCGACATACTGGAGGAAAAACTAATACATCGAAACAGGGTTCTAGACCAGAAAAGAAAAAACCTGCTTGGGACCATCGCATATCTCGCGACATAGAACAACTAAGAGTTTAGATAGGCAGATTAACACAATACATAGCGGGAAACAGAAGTCGTAAAATAATAGGCTTCTATCGAAAACTGGAGAGCAACATGACGATTCATACCCAACAGGATCCTCCGAATAACACTCCAGAACTTTTAATGGATACTCTGCGCCAGAAGCTTTCAGTAAAGACAAATAAAATGCGCAGGTATAGAAAATCAACTAAACGAAGGGAACATAACACCCTATTCCAACGGAACGAGAAAGTTTTCTACAGAGGATTAAAAAATGGAAATATAAATATAATGCAACCACCATCCCAAGAAGAAATAGTAGACTTTTGGAGCAAAATATGGACGGATGAAATTGAACATGAAGAAAATGCAACATGGATAACATCTGAAGAAGAAAGAGTATCTGAAATACCTGGCATGGATAATGTGGAATTTTCAGCACGGGATGTCACTTTAGCAGTGAACAAAACCCAAAACTGGAAATCCACAGGCCCAGACGGTATTCATAACTTTTGGTTAAAGAGGTTCAGTTGTATCCACCCATATGTGGCAACATATTTTGTAAAATTCCTCCAGTCCCCACAACAAATCCCCTGGTATTTTACTAGGGGTAAGACGTTTCTACTTCCCAAAGATGAAAACAACACACAAGATCCTTCTAAATACCGCCCCATCACTTGCCTCTGCACTCTGTATAAATTAATGACTGCGTGTATAGCTGATAGAATATACCAACATCTAAATCAGAACTCTGTGTTGGCCATAGAGCAAAAAGGATGCATCAAAAACTCCCAGGGATGTAAAGAACAACTCATCATTGATGCAGTGGTAATGGAGCAAGCCTACCATAAACAGAGAAACATATTTACAGCCTTCATTGACTATCAAAAGGCCTTTGACAGTGTGCCTCATTCTTGGCTTATTAGGGTCTTAGAAATATACAAAGTAGCACCAATCATAGTTAAAACCCTAAAACATATGATGTCATCATGGGAGACCACTCTGTATCTTTTTCACAACGAGGGTACTATACAGTCTCAGCTTATCCCAATCAAAAGAGGAATTTTTCAAGGAGATAGTCTTAGTCCATTGTGGTTTTGTTTAGCACTAAACCCACTGTCCACTCTTCTCAATAGTACTAGGTATGGTTTTCTTATTAAAGGAGAAAACGCAATACAGTATAGACTTAGCCACCTACTATATATGGACGATATTAAGCTGTACGGTTCCACTGAGACTCATATAACTAATTTGCTACAACTAACAGAGAGTTTTTCCAACGACATTCGGATGTCTTTTGGGCTGGACAAATGTAGAAGACTAAGTATCGATAAGGGTCAGGTGATTCTTCATGGATTTGACCTAATTAATGAAGGCTCTATTGCCGCGATGGATCAAGATGACACATATAAATATCTAGGCCTTCAACAAACAGAACGTGTAAAACACAAGGAGATTCGACACCGAGTAACGGAGCAATATCTGAAAAGAATAGGCGATATCCTCAGGACATCCTTAAATGGTAAAAATGTATTTAAGGCCATAAATACGTTTGCCATTCCAGTTCTGACTTATACGTTTGGAGTGGTGAAGTGGACAGAAACGGAAATCAGGGACATTGAGAGAGCCACACGTAAGCTTCTAACAAAAAATCGAATACTTCACCCTAAGTCAGCACTGGAACGATTAACTCTTCCCCGCCAAGATGGAGGACGCGCGATGATCGATATCGACAGGATGTGTCAAAAACAGACCCAGGGATTGCAAAAATATTTCAAGAAACAGGACGGCGCCCTCTACCAAGCCGTAATAAAAGCAGACAACAGATACACACCCTTGAACCTATCTCATGATACTAGAGAATTAGTCTCGGACGAGACTTATATACAAGGGAAGAAACAGGACTGGACTTCCAAACCTCTACATGGTCGTCATGCAAGCCTCCTCAGCCAACCCTATGTCGACTCTAAGGCCTCGAATGGATGGTTAGGACGAGCCGACATATTTGCAGAGACAGAGGGATTCATGATAGCGATCCAAGACCAAGTTATTGCCACCAAAAACTACCTTAAGTACATAATAAGGGCTCAAGTGGAAAATGACTTGTGCAGAAAATGTCATCAACAATCCGAGACCATCCAACACATAACAAGCGCTTGCCCAATACTAGTGCCAAGGGAATATCTCTCGAGACACAATCAGGTAGCTAAGATTGTCCATCAAAGTTTGGCTTGCTTACATGGCCTCCTGAGCGAAGAGATACCATATTACAAGTACGAGCCTAGTCCTGTCTTGGAAAACTCTACGCATAAGTTGTACTGGGATAGGTCGGTACTAACAGACCGTACTATAGTCCACAATAGGCCAGACATCATCATCGTTGATAAATCAAGAAAACGAGTTTTGTTAATTGACATAGGAATCCCAAATGGTCACAACATCTTGACTTACTACGCTGAGAAGGAAGCAAAGTACCAGAGACTTGGGCAGGAAATTCAACAAATGTGGCGCCAGGAGAGTGTGTCTGTAGTCCCGTTGATTATATCTTCCACCGGTGTAGTACCAAAGTCACTCACTAACAATCTGAGGATGCTGGAAATTGCCAATAAATTAGCGATTATCCAAAAGGCAGTGATACTATCCACTACCTCTATTGTACGCACATTCCTAAACGTTTCTATATAATTAAAATGCAAGAATCTTGCCATGGCCGATCTTGCATTTTTCCCACCTATCCTAGAGATAGTGATACCAAAACATAATAATAATAATAATAATAATAATAATAATAATAAAAAAACTATTTATTCTCAACGACTTGTTCGTATTTATATGGCTTAATATATATATTTAATTTTTAAAAAAGTGGGTTATTTTGACGTGTATTGTGATTTAATAATTTTGTGCTAATTTAGAATGGAAAATAATTAACAAAACAAAATTATTACTAGGTTGTAAGTTTAATAATGTATATTATTGATTTTGAAAACCAAAAAAAGGTTTATTTTTATTTGGTTCCTTTTCGCAACTGGTGACATAATGAATTTTTCGAGACAAGTTTCATAATGCATAATGCAACTGGTTGAACTGGTTGCGTAAAGTAGATCATTAATAAAAATGTCAAAATTAAAAAAACGTTGTTATGTTACTAGTTCAAATATATAAACGTAATAATAATGTTCTACATTGGATTAATAATTATTTGAATATTTTAATTTTCTTGATGAAAAATATAGCGTTATTCAACTATTTTGCTATCTAGTTGATTAAATAACATTATTATTGTGTCCCTTCAAAAATATAAAGATAAATAAATTATTTATTTTACAGCCCACCAACCTACGACGAATGAATTCCAAGATGAAGGTACATAAGATTCTATTATTAATTATGAATATGTTATGGATTGAACAGATTCTTCAACAATACCCGTATCCCACATGACTAAATTAATTTCATCAGTTGGATAAAAGAATAAATAATAATTTCAGTAGTAACCCCATGTTACTAACCTATTTAACAGAACTGATACTCAAGTTGAATATCAGTGACAAGTGACAGTGTTTTTTTTTATCACAGAAAATATGTTCTAAATGCTATATTTAGTAATTGTTTTTAAAAATAGGTTCTGAGCACAGAAAATACTATTGGAAAGTATGTAATTTGTTTTAATATTTAAATAAGTTATATTTAACAATTATTTAAAAGGACTTTTCAACATTTTTGTAATATTTAAAATCTAAAATCGCAAAACAACCTCTTTTATTTTTACCTAAATCTGATTAAAACTCGGGATTAATGGGTCTTTTTAACTCTGAAGAGCTTTAGCATTATACAGAGTTGAACAAAAGTCCGGAATAAAATTATTATCTATTAAAAAAAACGCTGATACACAAGAATTGATTTTACGTTGGACGTATTTGTTGCCAATAAAATAAATAAAATAAAAGTTAGAAATTTAAAGTGACATTTGAATAAAAAATTAACAATAAGGAATTTGTTAACATAAAAAAATTTTTAACACATGGTTCGATCTTCGAATTAGCCCTTAAAATGTTAATAAAAGTCACTAAATATGGACAATTTTCTGTTTTACCAGATCACATGAGATACGGATATTGTTGATGACTTTACAAAATATAATATCGTGTCCGCTCTTATTCTTACAATTTAGTGTTAAATTCAGTTTTATTAAAACTTTTTTGAGGGTATATCAGCGATAAAAAATTCAAATTATCCATTTTATTTTACAGAACCAGATCCTTTCGATCCAGCATCTATAGGTACTAAAGATTTTTTTTACCGTTTTAGTTTTATAAATTTGATATTCTTTTATACAGGATGTTCTGGAATATATATTTAGTATATAAAACAACTGAAATTTGTGTGATAACAAATTTAGAATACATACAACAGTTCTTTACATACTGGTTAAAAAACAACCCCACATACATTTTTAGAATGATTTTTTAATTCGTTTGTTATTTTTTTTACAAAAAAAAACATGTTTCGCAAAATCGTCATAATAGTATTATTTTGATTGTTTTTTACGCATATGTGCTTAAAAGTAACATATTTAAGTACAATTATTTAAACGAAACAAAAAAAGCCGACACTACTGCGATATTAAGAAATGATACAAAAAGTTAACTCTATTTCTTTTTTTGATTTATATTATTTATAGTTAAAAACTTTTTATATACTTTATTCTGGAATAACCTGTTTACTATTTTAACTGTGTATAGAAGTTATTTTTAAAAAAACTTTTTCAAAAAACTCAAAAATAAAGATACCGAATTAAAAATCTAAATTCATGCCTGGACTTGTGTATGAAAAGTCATGTTTATGTTTGTATGTTTTTCATGTGCTTCTTATGAATCACGACCGGTTATTATAATTCAGTCGTGTTTGATTTCAGTAGTATGTTTATCTGAATTTTAATTGTTGGGCTGGTAAAATTTAAAATAAAGTGCTTTTAGAAGAACAAATTTTAAATGTTATCAAAGAAGATCTAACAACAAGTACGCGGGTGATTGCAGATCAGGTGGAAGTAAGTCAATTGTATCATTTTCACGTTCAATGTATTCAAGCAATATAATTTCAAGAATTCTCAAGCAGTGTTTAGTTTTGTAAATAGGTCTTACAACGGCATTTTTTTAACGAAAATTCTACATAATATTTAAGTTAGACAGGACCGTATGGGTTACATTTAAAAAAAAATAATGTCGGTTTCTTATTTTTAAGTTTTTGAAACAGTCATTTACAAAAATTGTTTATTTTAATGACTTCGGTATGTAAATAGTTAAAAGAAGTATCAACTCGAGATTCACACTATATACTTAGTTAATCTTTTATTTTATAGCTCAAAATTATTATCACGAACATCAAACTCCAGGTATGTTACAATTTTATCTAACCACTCATTATTTTATTAAATATACCTATCCACCATTTCTATTTTATTCAAATATATCATCCATTTAAAAGGATATTAAACAGGGTATTAGTACATATCATGTCAATAATAAGGGAGGAAGAAGGTAAGTAGTTTGCCTATTTTATGACTAAATTTCTTATAAACATATGTTTTAAATTACTTTTTTAATATACAAAAATATTTAACAAAAATAGATTATGAACAAACATTGATATGTTTTTTAATCTAATCCGGTTTAAAAACTAACTTATTTCAATCAAAACGGCCAAGTTTAAACAAAATCGTAAAAACGATTTTTGACATATTAATAACAAACCAGTTTAAAAAATCAACATTCTGCATCTTAAAAAATCAATTTATTTTATGATATTTTAGTCATGAAACAGGCCAAATAATAATTATCTTTTTGAAATATTGAGCACCCTGTATAATGCAAACTAAAAATAATTACTTACGTATATTTTACAGAAGAAGATCCTTACCAACATCCCCATCATTCATTTATAGGTGAGCAAGATTAAATATTAATTAATTCTTTTTATTAATACAACAGGGTGATATTACTCCTACCTACCTTCTAGTTCCCGATTAATAGCAAAATTAGGTCCGCCTGTTTTACATTGAGGAGTAAAAAGGTTATGTATATGTATCTCAAATATGGTACGTCCAATAAGGAAAAGAAAACTCAAGGTCTCAACGTCAACATAAAAAAATTATTCAAGGGCGACTTCTTTCGATCAAATGACCATCATTAGATTTGTTAAGAAAAGTGTAATTGCATGGAAAAAGAAACTATACTCATAATAAATAATGAAATGAATTAAAATATAAAACGAACTATAAATTAAGATTAAATATAAATGGAAGCTATTAGTCAATGTAAATTAACAAAAAGTGATATAAAATAATATTAATCGATTCGAAATTAGTGACAAAACTGTGACATATTAGGCAAATTTATAGGATATAATGAAACATGTGACAATTAAGGTACTAGTGATAATTAAACAATAAATATCTTACATTATTGGCAGTAAAAATAATGTAACACCCTTAAATCCTTGTCGTATCATTTATGTTGTCATGGAAAATTAGTAGTTTACTAGTTTAGCTCTTGCGTAAACCAGTCAAATAAGTTGAAAACCACGCCCAACCAACAACTAAACGTATTAGAGTAAATGTATGTTGTAGGTTCTGAATTATTCTTCCGTAAATATTAATTTTTCTGTTAATATTATTTTTAAATAAATAGAAAGCTGGCAGACGTTACCCTCCGCAACAGTGTCAGGCAATTGTTGATTGGAGATTTCAAATGTTATCCAGTTGATCATACAAATTTTACATCACTTTATAAATGATACGTTATGGATTTAAGTATGTTACCATAACTGTTTCAGCGACCAAAAGATTTGTCTTTAATTTTTTTTATTCATTAATGTAAATACTTTTCTTATATTTATTAGAGAGATATTGCAAGTTCACTAATAGCGCCGCTCCTATTTTGACATCTAAGAATGTACAGATCGATTATACAGTCTGTTTGCTATACTTACGCGGATTTCGGATCAAAAATTTTATGAGTATTTCCAGGTATGTACCCGAAAGTTTGACTTGTTCTTTGGGGAAATATCAACTGGTTAAATGAAATGAAAAATAATGTACAACTTTTTAATTAAATAATAATGGAGAGTCTTTTGTATAATTGAGAGCAGAATTGAACTTGTTCATTAATGGAGTCTAATGTGGCTATTATAAACCTAATAATAATTTTATATACACTTCACACAGAAAATATGGTCTTTGTATAATAAGAGGGTTATTTAGCTCAAATAAAATATTTTCTAACATAAACATTTGTTCCATGTAGAGAATTTCAAATGAAAAATAAAAACATTGAACTTGCCAACAAAAATGAAAATCAGTCCAAAATATCATAATCGTCATCATCATCACTGTCATCACCATTAATTGTTATTATGATTGGACTTACTTCGTTTATTTTATTTTCACGAGTACACCAATCTTCTATTAGTTTCTCGCACTTGGATATACAGTTCCGCCACACTTCTGGAGTTGCAACTGAAAGTGCTTTTCGCCAAGTTTCCCGAACTGCGTCGTCACTATAACCATTAGTCCCAATATGGTTGTCATAATATTGTTTTGCTATTCCCCATATATATTCGATGGGATTAAACTGGCAATGATACGGTGGCAGATGTAAAACTTGATGACCGTAACTTTCAATAATCTGATCCACAACAAAGGTTTTTGGTTTTGCGTGTATATTTGCCAAGCGTAATAATTCTGATTTTAATATATATTGAGGAAATGGTATATGTTCCTTTGACAACCATTCTTTAATTTTATCAACAGTCCAATAATTCGTCGGACTTTTCTTTAATATTTCAGAATGGTGCATTGTCTAAAATAATTACGCTGGGCTCACTTAAACCTGGGAGAAGTTTTTCATGCAACCATTTTACAAACATTTCTGTGTTCATATTATCGTGATAGTCACTGAATTTTTATTTAGGTGAAAATATTAAATCAGCACCTTCTATAAAACCCGATTTCCCTCCTGCATGTAAAATTATGTGTCGTTTCTTTTCTCCATCGGTATTTTTGATGGACTTTACGTTATCATCTTGCCATATTCTCTTGGTTGCACCCCTAAAAAATATCAATGTTTCGTCTAAATATAAAAAATTCGCCCCTTTTTCTTCAAATTTAGAATATTTTCTCAGAAAGTTAATTCTCTTGTGCACGACAGAACTTCTTTCACAAAGGGCCTTTCTGTTATCCTCCTTTTGAAATTTGAAACCCAAGTTATGTATCACATGCCATAGACTTGTTCTGCCAATGTCGTCAAATTTTCTATCTAATAATTCCGAGAGAATTGTATTTAAGGTCACATGTTCCCTGTTGGCCCTCATTTTATAAATGGTATCACGAATTTCAAATTTCTTTCCATCTGGAATATCTTTCGGTTTCAATGATGGGCGAGTTTTGTGGTGATCTTCTTTCGGCAGCTCACTATTGTGATTTTGTAATACTCCTCTTAATTTGGTTTCACTAATTCCTAGAGCATCGCATACGCGTTGTTGTACAGACATTACCGATTTTAAAGGACCGCCATTTACTTTTTCGTCCGTAAAATACTTATGTACACTACAAATTAGACTATCTACATCTAACACACGTCTAGGCATTTTTAAAACTTCCACTAAATTTACAATATACATACAATGTCAACATTTGCAAAGAATCAATTTAACTGCAATATTTGTAACAAATTTAGTACCTACCCTAATATTTTTTTAATTTAAATCTGACCATTAGGGCAATTTTACCTAATTTCTTGGGAAGAGGCTTATTGGAACTGGTTGTCAATGACTAATTTGCATAATTTTGTTAATCCAAAACCCGCGTAACTGACTTTATTAAAGATTGTGCCTGTCCATAATTATGGATGTTTAAGGGCAGCAGATAGTGGCGACTATATAACTTGCAGATGCGCTCGCCGAAATTCGAAGTTTTTTAATTTTAAATATTTAATATCATCGTTATCTAAATCTTCTAAAATATTAATTTCTGAAGCCTCTTCAATATTATGTACTACTATAGACAACAAAGTAGATAAAATGTAATTTAAAAATATTAAAATGAGGTTAGAAATATTTATAAGGACAATAACTCTAATGTCAAAATTTCAGGTTTGCAAAGAGAGAATTTATTTACCTCTTATTGCGTTGTGAGTTGTGACTATTAGTTATAGAAATTTGCAGTATATCTAATGTTTTATTGTCACTAGTACCTTAATTGCTATACATGTTTCACTAGCGATATCCTATAAGTTCATTTAATGTTTCAGTTTTGTTGCTAATTTTGATTTATATCACTATTTTTTTAATTTATATTGACATAACTTTCAACTTTATTTGACCTCTTAATTTATTGTTTATTACACATCCCCACAAAAAAAGTATTTAGACTTGACGGTCGGACATATGTATTCCCATGTATTTTTCGACAGTGGATCTGATCCTGAGCTCAGAAATGGCCCTCCACTTCTGGAATTGGCCCTAGGGGCCAAAAATGGCCTCTATATGGCCTGAAAGGTGGATTCTGAGATGAGACGTGGTTGAAGGTGCATTCTAAAGCCAAAGTCGGGTTTGTAGTCGAAAAGTTTATGGCCAACTGAAATTTCACGTATAGGACCGGGAAAATGGCCCCTCAGGGGCTGGAAAATCATGTTTCAGACGTCGCAATGGCATTGGTGGTATTTTTATGTACTTTTGAATTCTGAAATGCATACCGTTCTCGAAAACTTTGTGGCCAACTGCAACTCCCCGTTTGGGACCTGGAAAATGGTCCCTTAGGGGCCGGAAAATTATGTTCCGGACGTTGCAATCGCTACAGTGGTATTTTTATGTCCTTATTTATGTCCTAGTTCTCGAACTCAGACTGCTCGAAAAGTTTATGTCTAACTGGAAATTTTCCTTTGGGACCGGGAAAGCGACCCCTTAAGGACCGGAAAGTGGTGTTTGGGACGTAGTAATCGAGTGTTATTCTCATGAAAATTGAGTGAAGCCAATTTTCTTTGACTCTTTGAATAGATTTGACAGTTATGGCCCTTATTCAAAAATTACGCCTCTGTGATAGTTTTCCCCGATATCTAAAAGAACCCGAATACCCCATCCACCGATTCTAATGCGTCTATCCTTAATCCATGTATTCCTCTACATTCAATTGTCAAGTATAATTAGTAGTTTAAACGATACAGGATAGAGTCTCCGACTTTACTTCCTCATACGAAAGTATATACATACAGTGAGGTATACGGGATCTCTAATAAGACACAGTAGTCTCGATTGTGTTAGGAAAATCCTCTTAGATGACGTTCAGGCCGGACTTCCGGTACACCAGGTCTCCGGAGGTACGGTTTCGTGATAGAATTTGGATTCCGCGTGCCTAGAAACCCCCATGACGATTTTCGGTTTGTCTTTAGCGATTGTGTCTGAAGAACCCTCGGAGACGATGTTTCGGTACACTAGGTGTTCGAGAATCGTTTTGGACGTGAAATTTGGATCAAGGGCCCCAAAAAAACCCCTGCAAGGTTTTTCGGCTTGTTTTTGGCAATGTTGGCCAGAAACTTCTCGGAGATGACGCCCACGTTCCAATGTCCAGGGGGTGTTCGTCAATGTTATATTTGAATTCAGCAACTTAAAAAACCCCCGAGCGCCTAGTTTCTCTCCTTATCCGGTAATTTTGGAATAGTCCCCGTAGATAACGGTTATCGGCGTTCCTGAGCTCCCGGTCGGCTGTGGCTCAATTTGAACATCATAATCGTGATCAGCGACCTCGAAAACCGTCAGGAACTCGATTTGGGCTAGTCCTGACTCTTCCTCCTTTCAGGCCATATATTGGCCATTTTTGGCCCCTGGGGCCAATTCCAGACGTGCAGGGCCATTTCTGAGCTCGGGATCGGATTTAGCGTCTAAACTAAT